ACTCTCATTTTCCCCCCCCCCCCCCTCTCTCTCTCTCTCTCTCCCTCCCATACATAATACCCTTGCTCTAACCGTGCTTACTCGTTTTCCCAGTCCCACAAACACCAGAGCACCTCCAGCTGCGCCCCAGCATCAGAGGTATTCGCAGTCATTACCACACACCACTGCTGCGCCATACAGTCCCCCACTGTCTGCGCGGCCGCCTCAACCCTTGCACGACACGGCGCCGTCGCAACCGCCAACTGTCAACACCCGCCAAGACTCTGCAGTTGCTCAGCACTCCTACGACCACCCAAAGGACACTGAGCACTCTGTTCCTTCATCTGTCTTTTCTTTTTCCTATGTTCACCCTGCCATCGACAGCCGTCGTCAGTCAGCATCTCGCCCCGTTTCCCACCCTATCGGGCCATCTGCACCCCATTCTCCTCCAGGCGAGTCTCGCTTGAACCAAAGCCAGCCCCCTCCAGAAACCGGAGCAGCTGGCCTAAGAACGGTGCACCCTCCGCCACAGCCTGCACTCACTCAATTCGCACTAGAGCCCACTAGGTCACCACAACAGGAGCGAGGCCCTGCTGCAGCACCAAACTCGGACTCTGGATTCAGGAACCCCCTACCCTCTCCCACTCTCGACCAGACCAACGGCAGTGGGCGACACCAACGCTACAACGTCCGCTTCAACACAGTCTACACTTCAGAAAACATGCCGCCCAGCCAGAAACCCAGGAACGACCCTCCGCCAACGGCACCTCCGACAGCAGAGCCAGCCGAAGACCACAAGTCGCCCTCGGAGCAGACTGTTACGCCATCAGTCGAGCCGGTGACTCCATCAGCGATTCCCCCACCACAGTCCCCTGAAGAGCAACCGCCACCACAGCAGCAGAATGCTCCTCAATTAGAGCGATGCAAGGGATGCCAAGAGCCCTGGAGGCGGCCGCTGCCAGGCGAAGACCAGTACCGACTGAGTTCGCCAGCACAAAATATGAACGACCAACTGGCTTTGACACAGGACTTCATCAAGCGGCTAGAGAACCATGCCAAGTTTGCTGACGAGGCATATGCCACCTGGCAACGGAAACACCGGTGGTGCGTTGTGCAGCCCACGAGCCCTCCTGCGACAGATGCTCCAGCAGAAACACGCAGCAAGAGCGAAGAAGGACATTCTCCCACCGAGGCTCCCGCAAGCCTGGTTTCGACCAAGCGCAAATCAGAAATCCCCCACGAAGCTTCCAAGTATCGCAAAGTCAACAACTTTGAATCCCAATCTAACGTCACGCCGCCTGTTCGTCCTACTGCTCCGGCATAGAACAATGGGGCTTTTACCATGCGATCTACGATTATTCCTCATTGGAGACTCGAGTCTCTGTTCTGTTTGCATTCGCATCTGCATCTTGGCCGGTGTTTGTGTCTGCACAAGAGACGGCTTCCGCTATACCCCAATCCGGGCGTCGTACTCACTTTTTGCAGCTAGGCTTCTATTACTAGCAATTAGTTTTTTTATTTTTATTGTTGTTTTATCAGAGGTACACTGCACAGAGGATCCGTACTAGACGGACAGGAAAAGGACCGGCGTTGTTATTATCCCACAGTGTTTCCCTTTGCGGCGTGGTTCCCACCATCGCCACGGTCTCCCAGACGAGCGGCATGTGCAGAGCGCGCCCGCCGATTTTGTGCGCTTCACGACGCCATGTATCTGACGCTGTACGCAAATAGGCCCTTTGGCATTGCGTTTTGCATCACCACCCTTGCTTGTAGGCGGGCCTTTTTCTTAGCGTCTGTAATATGTACCTACTGCAACCTGTTGTTACTGCACGGTATTGCCATATACCCAAATTTCAAGTCATGTTCAAAAAAGGCAAAAAAAGTTCCCTCTCCCACTTTCCCCGTCTTCCCCTTCTCCGTCTTTCCCGGAGGTCCCCAATGCATGGATTCCCAATTCCCGAGTGACGGAACCATTGCTCAGGCGTGAAACTCGAAAGCGTAATGAAGAAAAGGGCCCCAGTATAGGGTGGGCAAAACAAGGGTATCATTGGGTTGCGCCAGCCCCGCTGGAGGACCCGGTCAGTGTCAAAGCGGATCGGTACGAAACCCAAAGACTGATTGAGAAGGTAGGCGGCCGCTAGAACGAAGACATGGTTTTTTTTCTCCCTGTGGCTCGTACACAATCTCGATTCATGCTGGCAGGCTTGTCTTGGTTAGCCAAAAGGGGGATGGATGGGAGTTTTTTTCCTTGGTCTTGACCTTTTTTTTTTTGGAAGACGGACAGAGCAAGGCTGGGCAGGGCAACCACGACACGAGGATGAGAAAATCACAGCAGCAATTTCACACTCAACAAAAAGCTCTAGCCATCGACATCATCCAGTGCCGCAGACAGCAGGACGGGGCCGCAAATCACACGGTCGGAATTCCTTCCAGCTTGCACTATGTGATTACCTGCATGACTAGCTACGCCCTTACATTGCTGGTGAAAACGGTATGGAATGACACGGCTGACGGCTGACGGCTGCCGAGCGGGGCTTCCCGAGTTGTCAACGCTGCTGAACTGACGATGCAACGAATCACACCTGATCGCGCGAACTGCCTACTTTGGTCAAGCGGAGATTTGCGACGGCGCCTGATATATGTTTGTGAGTGCGAGTGTAAATGTGTGTGTATGGGAAAAGACAGGGGATTAGCAGATGCTATCGGGGGCAGTATGACATGTGAGAGGGGCAGGTCGGTATTGGAGATGGACGTGGCAAGTAGTAGACAAGCGACAGGGACAAGCACGAGAGATATCAATATGGCGAGAGAGTTAGCAACATGGAGGGAGAAGAAGAATGGCCCTAGAGGGAGGCGTTTGGTAAGCAGTGGGTGTGCAGCTAGTGAGCAAAGAGATGCAGCTGATTGGCCAGCTCGTAGGGAATGGGCAGGTGCTGATGCGGGGCGGGGCGGGCTGACGGAGATCTCTGGGAAGGGAAAAATCAAGGTTCATACTGGCGGCAGGGACAACGCACATAGTGGTTCGGCGGCAAGAGTCAACTATGACCTCATCGCCGAGTCGCGCGCTGGCGAGCAAATGGCCGCAGTCATGTACATGGCCTACACAACACTTGGATGGAGACGTTGATGCAGACAGATGCAAGCACAAGAACAAGCCCGGCGGACCGCGACCCATGGCCGGGAGAGTGTGGGAGGTGCTACACCCAAAGAAAACGGTTTTTGGCGCATGTTGCCACGATTCTCACGCGATTGTGTGCCGATCGCGCAGGTTAGCGCAGCGAGCCACGCATGCTCTGTACCTCGAGGAGTGTTACTACAGCAAGACCCATGGCGGGCGGGTGGTTGAGAATTCGCTTATTTTGCACTCAAAGGGAACAAATGCGAGAAAGTAATCCAGTTCCGAATTGCTGGGACTCTCTGACGGCAAGGGGTTGGAACACGGTTGCAACGTCTTTTGAGCAAAGTGGTTAGTGACGATCACTCGGCGCTGGTTGCAGCTTCGGGCAATGCTGCGTATTGATTGCAGACGTGAGGTCTAGCGCGGCAGCAAAACTTTGTCGGGTCATGCTAACGGCTTGGGAATGCTCGTCAAGTCGCATCGCACCTCACAGACGGTGGGGAGGGGGGAGGGGGGGGAGGGACCGCAATCGGGCCGTAACGTGATTGCGCTCTCGCTGCTTGGGACACTCGGAGCTCGCTACCAATAGCAATGCCGAAAACCTGCTGGTAGGCAATGCCGCGGCCTTGTCAAACTGCCGCTGACATGGCGTGTCTGGCACGTGACTGGCTCGCTCGGCCCCGGCCCCGGCAGCACCTCTGCCCCTCTGCCAGGCAGCTGGTTCATACTATACGTCCTTACATGTACGTATTATGTATGTACATGTACCTACTTAGCTACAGTACATACATACGCAGACGTTAGCAGCCACGTAGCACGCGTCGGCTCGCGAGCCCGTCGCTGCACGTCTTAATGTACTATGCAACTCTTTCCCCATGCAGCGCACAGTATACCAGTGGCGTCCATTCCAAATTCCGCTTCCCCAGCTTGGCGATACATCATCGACAACGGGAGGGCACAGACAGCACCCGTCCCCGTCGGCGAGTCAGATCCCCGTAGAGCGCTAGCCGCTCCCGCCTAGCCTTGGCCCGACCTGGCTTCCTGTCCCTGACTGGCGTCGCATCCAACTCCCACCACCACCACCACCCCCTCGAGTCACGGTCGTCGGCCTGCTCCTTCGCCTCGCGCGGAACCTCACGCTTGACTCGCCAGAAGTTGCAAACAACTGGGATCTGGCGGCCCCGGCTCACAAACTGCCGCTGCTGCGCGTCCCGGCCAATTTCTCCCGCTCTGCTGGCACGTGCATGACTCACGCTGCCTCCTCCCCCGGCTGCACGCAGCCATTCTTATCACCCTTCCTCCTGTGACAGCTGTCAATACTCAGGCCCTTTTATGCACCCAAACCCTATCAGGCAAGAGACGGGTCCCGGTTGAATTGGGCCGACAGTTGCTGTAAATGGGCCATGTGCGCTCCATGATCATCGTCTGCGATATAGATTGAGGCCACCGAGGGAAGACTGCTTCCGTCCCAAACCAGCTTTCTCCGCCTGTGAATCCTTCGCACCCTCTCCCACCCAATCACGCACTCCCTCGTGAGGCATTTCTCACCGGCCTGGCAAATGGGACGTTGCGAATTTCATACTTGCTATACGTTTTTTATTTTCTTGTTTGAGCCTACCTGTCACAGCAGGGCAAACATCAAACACCAAGCATGCCACGCCAGTAGGACAAGGCCGTTGAATCGTTCCAGTCTAATCGCCGCCTCATGACATACATGCTATGCGCATGTACTTACTGACCGCATCATAGGGAGTCGTCTCAGATACTACACACCCAAACACGGCCATGATTATCCAAATCACCATGAACGCTACGTACTATATGCAAAAAGATATCGCGCCAAATCCCAGCCTTAGCAGCCTCCCATACATACGCCTTCTATTACCTCACTACTCCGTTCCATTATTATCACGGCCCCAGAATGACAGTCTCACTGTTTCACCCCTCAGAGTCTACAGGGTTCCCACTGTCTGACGTATATTCGTGGCGTATTCTCCCCATGGCACAAATGCATACCTATATGCGTGTGTGTGTGTGTGTGTGTGTGTGTGTGTGTGTGTGTGTGTGTGTGCAACATGTCCTGCTGCCATGCATATTCAGTCTTTATCTCGTTGCCCCGTGTTCCACACGTCAATCCTCTACCACACTTGGCGACGGGCCGTGTTCTTGTTTTGACTCAACCCTGACCCTGGCGCCTTCTCCCGACAGGTCCGGAGTTTGGTTCCGACCTACACATGTTCGCCCAGCGTTACAGCCGACATGTTGTGTCCATATCAGATCCATCGAAGACATCTAGATTATCTGGATTATCGCGATCATCTAGATTTATGTATCGCGATCAACCCGTTCTGACGCGTGGTGACACTAGACCCGGCCCGCCGCCCAGCCTCACATACACGCACACGTACACCCATACCTGGAAGAACGCCCCAAACTCCAGTTTTATTCCTGCCAAAACCACTTTCGTGAATGCTAATGCACGTCACACCAACGTGCCATCCCGCCCGCCGCCTGCACCACCTCTTCCCACTGTTCCCTAATTTGTATACGGATTTATATACCGCAGAGCCCCTTGATGCCCACCCACTTTTTTGGGAATCCCGCTTGGCACAACACTGACACGTTCACAATAACAGAAACATAATATCGAGCGAGTGGCCTCGGTACCAAGTTCCGTCCAATCGCCCATTGGCCCGGTCAAATATCCAGGCACAGACAGTGTGTTGAGGCTTAGTACTGAATACAGTTTCGAGATCAGTAATCACATAATAGACAAAGCAGCATAGTATGTGTGTATCATGAATCTAGAATGAGATAGAGATTAGTAGAGGGAAAATCAGAGGTTTACGTTGTACACATGGTGATCTCCTGCTTCGCTAGCTATCTTTGGAACAAAGAAAAGGGAAGGAAGCGACGCGAGGGAAAAAAAGCAAGTATATCCCGAGCTGTGGCGACGTTTAGGACCTGCAAGCGTTGAGACCTGCATGATAACGGGTTTGATTCTTGGGATGTGGAACGGGTGGAGAGGGGATTTGCTGGAAAAAGGAACCACCCTACCCAAAAAAAAAAGGGGGAGTGGGGCCCTGGCGATGACGACCGACGGTTGGTACCCGTTGTACACATCATTGCCTTTTGATTGCCCGGGTCAATAGATGCATGTGCCGCTGCACAAACCCACCTCATCAACTCGAGGAAGGCCTTAGACCCGCGACGCATGTGTGTAGTAGTATGTATGCGGAACTCCGCTTGATACAAGGTTGTGGGGATCCCTTCCCTCCCCTCCCCCCAACCACGAGTCAGGGTCCAACCATTTTCCCCTTCAGCGTTTCTTGTCTTGTCTATCCGCCCCTTCACAAACATGTTACAGTTGGTATTACTGTACCACATAATCCACACTGGCATATACACGCACATACACGTTTTTTCCTGGACAAAGCCCGGCTGCTCGCCTTAAAACACGCCATTGCCCTTGCTTACCTGGACCTTGACCTTGACCTGTTTGCGCCCTCGAGGGGATTGTCAGCGCTAACGCCACAATCCTCTCTCTCTCTCTCTCCCCCACCCAAAAAACCCCACAACCCATTGACGACATAGAGCATCCGCTTTTATGTATCGTTTGTACCATGTATGCGTGTTGTTGGACATAATGTACTATAGCCTCTGCAAAGCCCACCCCACCAAAGCATTCACCCATTCCGCATACTTACCTGTTTGGGTCGCCCTTAGCGTCATGTACACAGTCCCTTTGGGGGCGGCGCACCCTCCGCTCCACTCCACTCCCTTCCCTTACCCTCCCACACTACCACCCATAACCTCCGTGCATTATCGGACTTGCCGCTTAGAGGCAGCATCGCGCCATTGCTAAACTTATTTTTTTTTGGAGCCGGGCGCCCGCTCCATCGAGATCCTTTGCCTAAGCCGCAAATCCCTGTTCCCTGTTCCCTGTTCCGGATTTGCCCTCTTTTCCTTTAACACGCTTTTCCCTGTCCCACACCCCCTACTTACCATATCCTTGCATCTTTTCTTTCATGGGGTGGGAAGGGATAAGTTGTAGTGGAGGGCTGGAAAGGGCAATTAAGCGAAGGGGGTGGGATGGTGGGTGGTGGGTGGTGGTTGCAAGTGCTGCGGGGTACGTGGTTTGAGATTGATGATGGAGGGAAACGGGAAGGATTTGGCGAGATTGGCGTGGCTGCGCTGTGGCACACACACACTAGCTTTGGTTGCGTGATATTTTGCGGATGGGTGGATGGAAAGGCAGGTAGGGGAGGTATGGTGTGTAGGGGTGGGGAAGGAGGCGGAGAGGGCGCAAGAAGATAGAGTTGTGGCCGCCCCGGGTCATGTCAGCAGAGTATTTTGATGGAGGAAGGGAATTGCCAAAGAGGTGGTGGGGAGAGGGAAGACTTCGGCATGTGGGTTAGGCGCTGTTGTTGGATGGAGGGGGGGGGGCGACTAGATGGATGTTCCTTCTTTCTCGCCCTGTTGGTCTCTAGAGCGTAGCGTGTAGTTGTCATTGGTGTGTGTTGGCGCGGGGCGTCAATTGATCATGGGAAGAGCTTACAGCTGGAATCAATGGGTCGAGGGGGTAGATCTCCTGGCGCGTGTTGGCTGTGTTAGTTGCCGCTGTCATGAAATGCCCTTGCACAAAGTTTGGAAAACAAACTCTCCCCTTATGTGTAGATATGAATGTATTGGGTATCTAGTAGTGCGTGCACTGCACTTTGTGGAGTGGCGCACAATTGGGCAGTGAGGGAACGTTTACATGTGCTGATTGGAGCAGGAGACATGTCATGTGTAAGTAGAAGTGTGAGGAAGCATGTTTGCTTCTGCATTAGGCATCGTTGCAAGCCCTCTCTTCGTCGTTGTTGTTGGGGTGTGTGGTTGTAACTTTTACGGCAAAAATATTTAACATAGCCGCTGGGCCCTTTCGCCAACATGCACCTTTTTTGAAGTCGCACTATTGGCGTCTTCGATCTACCCACCTGACCATGAGGCTCTTGTTCAATTTGTCTATTTACCTAGCACGTAGCGCGTTCGCCCAACCACTTGGCTGATACTCGGTCGGCCTTGCACACCACGCACACCACACATCCCTACATAGACGCCTCCAAACGCCCTCACCGGACAAGGCATATGTGCGAATCACAGCCTCTGGTCGCCAATGTGCCCAATGTGCCCAACCTGCCCACGAAAAGCGCACCTCAAAACATCCAAGGATAGACGCCTCTTTTTTTAACTCACTTGTCTCTGCCCTGCCTGCCTCCGGACAAGATCTGACATGGTAGCTGGCTAGCGCGTCGCCCCGAGGCACTGGACTTGCAACCAAGCGCTTGTCGCGCCTTCGACCCTTCTTGGTACGCGCGTTCGTATTTCCCTCGAGAACCGCCGCGTGATCAACGTAGCGAATCCACAGCCTGCAGCGAATCAGCCTCGAACCCGCGCTCCATAGCTTTTCCGCCCGGACTCTTGCCGCATCGCCTTCTCTGACGATGCGCTACTGGCCCTCATTGTCGCGAAACAATGCCTTCCCCTTCGATATTAAGATGGGCAGGATACCTTTAAATCCATTAAGCTCGGGGATCAACCTTGCAATCCTGGCTCTCGAGACGTCATCGACTTGCAAAGCGAGTTACATCCATTTTACCCTTTGACCTCCCCACATACACTCATCCTTTCGCCCTATCTCTCGATATTTTGTACCCACCATTGCGGGTTTCCCAGCGAACACTTGTCCTTTTTATCTTTTTTTTTGCTTTTTCGTTTGCACCTGCAGCTGCGAGATCAAGCCACTAGCAAATATCTCATGCATGAAATTATTGCGCCAAATGTTTCCTGCTTCTGATCACACACACCCCTTCCCAGCCTCCCTCCGCTCCCCCCCTACGATCGCTGGGCTTGAAACCCTGTTCCCAATACTATGGTAAACTTTTGCTAGCTCCAGTAGCCGACTGAATCGTAACCCTTCTCTCTTCTAGCAAACAAGGGACTTCCCTCTCTCTCTTAACTCTCCGACCGACGGGCAAGTCGGCATGGCTAACAATCATCAAAAAAAAAGGCCCGAAGCCACGACTTCCTTTCCCCCCATGAAAAACTGCCGGCGTAGAACTGCCGCTGACAATTATGTCACAGCTGTGGTTTTGAAAACCAAAAGTCTTGTTTAGGCTTGCTACGTAGCCCTTTTAATAGCTTAGGTATCCCGGTTTTTAACATTTGCATAAGTCGATTTCCCCCGGCTCCGTTTTGCGCATCCGGCGCTCCCTCCCTTGTGATTGTTTCGTTCGGCTTTAATGGGGAGGGAACAGAAAAGATGAAGATACGCGTCGCGCCGGATCCCGGAATCGCCTCCGTCTTCCGCCCCCCTTCCAAATGATTCCGGTGGTGAGACCCTTCTTTTTTGGGTCGGGAAACTCTGGGTATCTGAAACTCCTCTGTCGCCGCGGGTTCTGGGCAGATTGCCGTGAGAACTGCCTTGTTTCGACTGGTGATATCTGTGCACAGAACCTCTTGTTCTCTGGTAAAGAAGATTATGCTTGAAAAAAAAATGCTTGATTTTACTTCGTTTGCACATCCAGCTGGTCAACGTATGCTTTTTACTCTTTTTGTCTATTAACTACTGTTTTTAGGTTTTTTTTGGTTAAACTAAGATCTGGAGAGAGAGCCCATGCTTTGATTATTCTAGTAGATGACATCATACTACATTATACTCGCCCTATAGTAGAATTCGTGTCGTATAGAATTGTGGTTGGTCGAATGAAAATTTCGTATGCATTCGAGTGTCTTTGTACAAGTAATTACACTTGCAAACGACCGCTCCCCACATCCCGACGACATCGACGGAGACGCGTCCGAAAAAAGAAAGCATCTCGTCGTCGGAATATCGACCCGACCAATGACATTCTTTCCGAATATTTGTCTTGTCCTTGAATCTTCGCAACTTCATTCCGGTAAGTTCCATATCGTCACAGGAGAAACATCGAGGTGATGGGCGAGTAGGTGTTCTCGACAGGGACATTTTACCCGCATATCGCCGGCGTCAGCGATGAACTGATTATGACTTTATGTGGCCAAGAATAGAGACAGAAGAGAGACGAACTAAAAGTACGAAATGAGCACGTTCTTACACGGAGTGTAGTGCTGAAAAAGGAAAAGTCTCCAAGGTGTGAGAGATCACTGTCAGACGGGATTTAATAAAGTGGCAAAAAAATAAAAAATAGAAAAGATGACCACTAACATTGAGCCAAGGACTGCATCTAAGACATGACATCAATCTGCATGGTACCTTGTTCCAACATCGCTCGCAACAATGCGTTATCAAGCCCACACATCATAGATCATATGCACACCATTTCACACCTCCATCCCATTGACTCCGAATCACACTGCATCGATTCAAGAAACCCTTAGAGCTTAGTACCCATATTAATATGCACGGCTTTGACCTGGGAGTAAGCATCGAGTCCAGCCTCGCCGAGCTCGCGCCCAATACCGCTGTGCTTGACGCCGCCAAAGGGGACTCTGAAGTCAACATCCTGACTGCTATTCACCCACACGGTGCCGGCTTCAATCTCGGCTGCCACTCTATGCGCACGCTCGAGGTCCCGGGTAAAGATGGCGCTGCCGAGACCATATGTCGAGTCATTGGCCATGGCAATGGCTTGCTCTTCGTCCTTGAACGTTGCAATAACGACAATAGGTCCGAATATTTCTTCGCGGTAGATGCGCATATTGGGCGACACCTTGGTGAAGATGGTGGGCTTGACGAAGTAGCCTTCACCGCTGCAGGCTTCACCGCCCTCGAGTAGCTCCGCGCCTTCGGACTTGCCAATGTCGACGTACGAGAGCACCCGTTCGTACTGCTGCTTGGTCACTTGAGGGCCCTGGAAGGTAGACTCGCTCCACTGGTCGCCAATGACGGATACCTCTTTGACCTGCTGCCGGAACTGAGCGAGGAAGGTTTCGTAGATTGACTCCTGGACTAGAATCCTTGACGTAGCAGTGCAGATCTGACCTTGGTTCGACATGATACCAATATGAGACCATCGTACCGCCTGCTCCATGTCGGCGTCATCGAAGACGAGCAACGGAGACTTACCGCCCGTCTCTAGGGTAATATTCTTCAGTCCTACTGCAGCCATCTTCATGATTTGAGTAGCCGTAGCTGTAGAGCCGGTAAACGAAACCTTATCGACCAACGGATGCTGTACTAATGCCGCGCCTGCTTCCTTTCCTAGGCCATTCAAGATATTCACCACGCCCGGTGGAAACCCAACTTGCTTAATGAGGCTGGCTAAGACGAGAATTGACAGAGGTGTTTGTTCGGCGGCTTTGAGTACCACAGTATTTCCGCAAGCAAGAGCAGGGCCGATTTTCCAGCATGCCATGGACAAGGGATAGTTCCAAGGAATGACTTGGGCGACAACACCAATGGGCTGGCGGATTGTATATGCAAACTTCTGGCGTGTGGTACTAACGGTTTGGCCAGAGATCTTATCCGCCCAGCCAGCATAGTAGCGGAGGACGGAAAACGCTTCAGGGAGATCCTCATTGAGGGCGTTATTGTATGGCTTGCCTTACAAACCTATTAGCATTCGTATGTTTACATGACTAGATGTCTCCCTACCATTATCCCAGGCATCGACCGTCGCAAGAAGCTCCTTGTTCTCCTCGACCAAGTCTGCCAACTTCGCTATGAGCCTTCCGCGTTCACTAACATCGATGTACTTCCATTCTGGATTCTGGAGTGCTTTCTTCGCAGCCTGGACTGCACGATCAACATCTTCCGCAGTCGCAGCTTGGACTACAGCAATCTCCTTCTCAGTAGCAGGGTCTATTGACGATATCGTATTCGAAGGGGACGAAGAATCTACAAACTCATTGTCAATGAAGAGGCCTGTCGGTTGCTCCCACTGTTTCCCATTTGGCGCCTTGAGTTGGATGGTTTGTGGCATTGCGAAAGTCTATAGCGGGTTTATGTTACTGAAAAGGCTTGGGGTGTATCTCACTTGCCTTATTGTACGTATTTATGGTCTGGTAGATTGGTATCGGGCCGTAGATACGACCAGGGATGAGCATTAGCTCGCTCTCAAGAAAGCAGGTACATGCGAAGCGGGGTTGAGCTTACATTAAGCTATCATAGTAACTCTCGGTGGACTAAAATACCCGGATAGACACTAACCCAACCCCCACAAAAACAACAAAGCATCAGTAAGACACAACTGTACTCCAGTATTACAGAATTGTATAATTATTTTCTTGTAGTTTATCAATCTATATGCTAATCTCTAGCACGCTAGCATAAAAATCCAGCATTTTCAAATGCGCGGTGGTGAAGGCGGCTCGTTTTATTCCAGTGTCTTAGTATACCGAGAGCATAGGCTAGTGGTATCACCGACCGGGGACTAGGCGTTTCTCGCCACTTTAGGTAGTAGTCCCTCAACACATGCATACACTTCTTTCCCGTGACTTGTGAGCAGGGGAGAGCTTATCTAGACGTAGAACTATGTAAAATCCGCTGGAATTCGGAACAGATATCCGCATCATAGATAAGTCTTCACAGGCAATATTTCAACAAACAGCCTTCACTTCTGGGTGTCGTATTGAATGCGGAAAGAATCTATCGTAGTAAAAGACCCCGCTAAACTCCGCCCATGCAGTGCTTGACGTTGATTCATTAATAGTGGCAACTCTCCCGTGGCCCTTCATCTTCACGAGAGTCGCCTTTGTACATCCGTTCCATTGACAATCATTACTTCGTGAGAAGGGGTATCGAATGCGTGAGACATGTCCCAATCATTACGTCATCCTCGCTCGAAATATGCTTCAAAACCCCTAAGATGAACCGCGAGGGTTCTTGGTAAGCTTCGTCAGAGCACCAAGTAGGCCTGTTGTACTTGTTAGCGTTTTGTATATCAATCGTCAAAAGAATGGCTTACCAGTCGCCCCGTTGGGGAGCGTTGACATGGCAATTGAGTTGCGATCACCAACTGTGACGGTCTGCACGTTGGGAACAACGGCATCGTCCTTGAGTTGCTTCGCCCAGCGGAAGACGTTTTCATCACTGCGGTCGTTGCCAGCAGCGAGGAGGAAGTCAGGTCGGGCATCTTCTGGGTACTTGCTGAAGATGTGCTGGGCAGCTGAAGCCTTGTCAAAGTCTACTGGCTCAATGACGACTGAGTCTTTTGTGGGGATTGCCTTGACACGCTGCTGCTCGCAAGCGTCGTTGATGTGATTTGCACAATCGCCAGCGTGTCGACTTGTAGAGTCGTCGTTGTCATCAGACTTGTTGTAATGGAAGATGATCGAGCAGTGGCGCTCCTCAACCCAACTGCCTTCGACACGCTCAAGGTAGTATTGCAGAATCGGTTTGACTGAGTCCTTCCACTTCACTGTCTTCTCCTCGTCAGGGAATTGGATCCATTCTTTCGCGCCAGGCTCGCGCAAGAAGCAGCCATTCTCTGCAATGAGGCCAAGGCCACGGACGCGGTTGAAGATAAGCTCAGTTTCTCGAACAGTTCGACCAGTCATTACATAAACGGCATTCTTGTCGTCGGCAACGAGATCGTTAAGAAGAACAATAACACGCTCGGTATTAGTGAGAATAGTCTTATTGACAGACCCGTACGACGCAAGAGTACCTTCATAGTCTAGAATGAACAAGCGTCTCTGTGACTGTTGGTAGGCACTTCCAAGGCTGCTCGAAGAGAGTCGGGGGATTGACATGGTATCGCGCTTGAATTGCTCCTCGTAGACCTTGGCGAGATGAGTACTCAGTTTCTTGACCCAGTTATCGCCAGTTTGGTTCATGACTATGTTGCGCATCTTAGTGAACCTTCGCTCCTTCTCATCGTCCTTCATTTCTAAGGCGATCCGGAAGGCTTCGGCAATGTTGTTGTAGTCCCATGGGTTGATAGCGAGGTCTGCACCATCAAAAATTGACGCACTACCAGTGAACTCGCTGAGGATGACGGGGCTGTGCTTCTTTTCACCTCCGCGTCCATCCTGACAAATGACAAACTCATGGCAGGTCAAGTTCATGCCCTCGCGAAGACTGGTAATGGCAAGCGCATCGGCAATGGATAGCAGAGCAAGGTACTGCGAGAAGGAAATGTCTTGTCTGAGGAAGATGAGGGGGTTATGAGTCAAGGTCGAGTGGACAGCATCGATACGAGTAACGATCTCAGAAACAGTTGCCGCCAACTCGGTATCTTCAGTAGTGGATGTCGCGACCTGGATCATGACAACCTTGTCCTTCCACTCAGGATACTTGTTAAGGAACAACTCAAAAGCTAGTAACTTTTGGCGCACACCACGAATATTGTCTAGCTTATCGCGAGCAACAATGACCTTCTTTCCCTCATACCGCTTCTGCATGGTCTGAATCCACTCCAGGACCTCGGGCTCTTCTCGAGCTAGAGACAGTGCGCGAGGGTCAATGCCGATGGGCGAGGACCAGACGTTGACGAAGCGGTTCTCAAGCTGAACTCCGTCCTCGGTAGCCTCTACAGACAGAATCCGACTACAGGTTTGCAGGAAGTGGTGGGCGTACTCGGGTGTCTGGAAGGCGACGAGGTTCGCTCCAAGCATACCATCGAGAAGCTCCTTCCGAGCGGCAAGGCATCGGAAAACCTCAGAGGACGGGAAAGCTGTGTGCAGGAAAAAACCAATCTGTGCATCTGGTAGCTTTTGGCGAACCATCTGAGGAACAAGACATAGGTGATAATCGTGGACCCATATGACATCTCCGCGCTTGTAGTTTTTAACAACCTTGTCTGCGAAAGCTTGGTTGACTTTGACATAGAAGATCCAGGAGTGGTCAAGGAAAGCCTTGCTCTTGGGGTGGTCAGGAATGATGTAATGAAATACTGGCCATAGAATCGTCTTGCAGTAGTGGGCGTAATGGCCGTCAAAGTCTTTATCACTGACAAAGACAGTCAAAGCATCGTGTTCCTCCTCAAGCTTCTCGTAGATCTCAGTCTTCTTCTCTTCGTTCAGACTGTCTGTAGGGAAGCCAATCAGGCCAACGGTGATGGTATCACTAAGGCACTTGTTGTCGACTGCAGCACGGAGAGCGTTGGTAAGGCCGCCGTTGCCCTGGGCAGCAGGGACAACTCTGTATTCGGCAGCCCATCTCGGGTCTGTCACTGGCTTGCCAGCGTGCGAGCCCTTCATGCGCTCCTTCTGAGCCTGCGCCCGCTCTTGTGCCTTTGCGTATTCGAGAATCGTGTCTGGTGGAGCGGGCTCAACTCTGGACACGGGCTGGTTGAAGAAGATGCCACTGCCACCCCATTCAGGGACATGGGCATCACTGCGGACCAGGCCGCGGGGGTCAGCTGCGTTGGGGAAGTGAGTGGCAGCGCTTGGCTGGCCAGGTGTGAAGAAGTCTTCGTGCTCGGTCATACGTGTTGAGGCTTTGGGCAGCGCGATGTGCGAGGGCGGCGCCCGCTTGAGGAGACTCTGGGGTTGCTCTTCATTCTTGCCAGGTGCGGGCCGTGTGCTCGATAGGTTGGTGGTAGATGGCTTGTGAAGAGTGTCACTCAGCTGGGTAGGTACGGCTGCTTGGGGCGGACTTGGAGGGGCAGACTTGTTGTCTTGAAAGTCGACGGTATAGGGTAGGAACCTAGCTGTATTAGAGGAATTGAAGGTATTTACCTACTAACCAAGAAGAAAAGAAACAAACATGCTGTCTGCAGACTAGGGGAAGAAAAGGTGGGCTACCTACAGAGAAACGACATGTGTAGTCATGTTGGGCGGCGGGTTGGCGTTGTCGCCCAGCGGTGAGGAATTGGCTGTATAGGGAGGGGGATAGAGATGGTGAGCAGATACAGGTGTTGGAGAGCAGAGTCCGTTTTCACGACCGGTGAGAGGGTCCAGGTGAGGGTATAGATAGAGGGGGTGGAAGGACGTTGTGAAATTTCCGGTAGCTTCGATCGATCGTGATTGAGCTATTTGCAGGGAAGCCTCACTGAGTTCCGGCCTGTCTACCCGGCGCCCAAAGCAAGAAAGCGGGAGCTAGGAGGATGCACGTGCAAACGACTGCCTTTGCGGGTGGCTTTGTGGGTGTAGCTGGCTAAGGCGTCGTGAGGCTGGCCAGCAAGGGGACTTTGTTGGTTGTTTTGTCGTGGTGGCCGCCGCAAATTGCAGCGTTGTCCCCCTCCCCACGGCGGGCAGACAGCATGACGTATCCGCGCAACACGGAGCAAGTACTGCTTGCCAGTGGGCCTCTCTCCACCCTCTTACACCAGCCCACTGCAATCACTGTGCCGCCCCGAGAAAAGTCCTGCGACAAGTCTAGACGAACATCATTTTGACGTGGACTTCACGAAATTGGCACGCAAGCCCGCTGTAGACGGCTGCTGGCGCGCCTGACAGCTGCGCATTAGATAGTGTGCCCCGCGCACCAGTGCGAGACGAGAGGGCGCTGCAACCGTCAAAGGGCTATCATGGGTGTGTGTACTATCCATCGCACTCTGTCCTCTTGTGTTCTGCAGTCTTCAACTGCCGCAGGGCCGTGACTTTGCAAGGAGGAGGAGGGGTAGGTGGGGACAGGGTTGGGCAGCTTAGCAGCTCGCCGGCCGCCAAAGCCGTCATGGCATTCCTCAAGAATCCGATGTCACGCAAAGAATTCGATGTTGACACATATGCAAGCCGTTGCCCCCACATATCCATAGCCTGGCTATATGCCGGCCGTAGTAGATATTCAGCCTCCTTATGATGAATTTTGCGCTCTGGAGAGAGCCTGTAGTGCCCTCGGGACGTAGGGCTCTGCGTTCCCGGCCGTGAGAGTACTTATCAAGCAAGAACAACGGCCCCGAAACGTAGTCAGACATGATCTCACCTGATTGCATGCTACTATCTTTTTCACCATGACAGCCAGCGACCACATTGTGACGTGGGGCGGGACTGTCGGAATACCATTCGCCCGTTATTCACCTCTCAGCGTGATGTGATGAGCCTCAAGCCCCACCCACTAGGTGTTGAAGGGAAGAGAGCGCCGATAATAGCCCGCCCCAGGCGTTCACCCTCGAGTCTCCATGGCTGACTATCAAAAAAAGCATTGCACAACACAGACAACACTGCTTTGCTCATTGTAATTCACTGACATATATCCACCTCCCCATCAAGCCCTCCTCTTCGTCTCTCCCTCAGGCACCCCAATCCCAAGCAGATACCCCGTCCGAATCAACACCGGCAGCACATTCAAGCTATTCGTGACCCCATCTTTCCCACCCCACCCCTCAGGCCCAAAAATCCTGTACCCCATCTCACACCACGCGGCATAGCAATGCCCCAGATCGCACAGCAACAGCCCAAACAAGATCCACCGCCACGTCCTCTTATCATCCACAACCCGCAACAGCACCCCTTCTGTAAACGCAAAGAATATGTACGCCGCCGCCAACTGATCGCACACAATCTGTGACGAAGCGCTGTAGCCCGACGTCGACGGCATAAAGTCAAAGTAGCTCTCCGGGTTGAAGTGCAGTCTGTATACCCCACCGAGAGCAAATACCGGCTCAAGGTACAGGTGCCATAGGATGTAGATGAATGGCGTGTTCGGTGGCGCCATAACTACTGCTATGCGGTTGTAGCACGGTACGTAGAAAGGGTCCGCGGGAGGGGTAGAGCGTGTGTAAGTAGGATATGACTACTAGTAGTATGTAGTGTATGCAAGGAAGTATGTTGGGCGGAACGGGTCGCTGGTCGTGGGTCCTTTTGATAAACCAGGGTACGTAAGTAGTAGCAATTCTTCCGGAATAACTAGCAAGTAGTCGAAGTAGTCGTATTCATCTAAGTACACACGCACAGAGTCGTCAAAAGGCGTGCATGCAATGCTTGCAACAGTTCAAAAGACACAGAGTGGCGGACCCTCGCTCACTCATAAGACCATGAAAGCGCACGTGTGTGTGTGTCGACATGTTGGGCCACCGATAAAACCTGTTTGCTTTGCCTTGGTAGTCGCGGACTTCCGTCCTCCTTTGTACGTTGGTTATTGGCGGAACGTGCCCACGGCGATCAACGCCCATGGCCCCAAACTGCCTTGTTGGGAAGTCAATACGCAATGTACTCTACATGGTAGATACGGACCTCCGGTTGCTGCACATGACCCACATCCCTTCTACGGGCATGAGCATCCCCGCATTTCTCACTTGGATTCACCCCCTTATCTCGACACACATTTTTTATGTATATTCTTTTTCTCACCCTGGAGTGTCCACCATGGAGGCATACAAGGTACAGAATTGCGCCTGCCTCTTGCTAGCACAGAGCGCAAAGCGCGGCATGTTGATTTATAGTAGGATTTATGTTAGACGGGAACAGAGAAACACATGGCCTGTGAAGTCTCAAATTTATCATTTGCAAAGACAAATTAAAATCTTTTTTACTACTAATTATTTCAACAAATCTACAGAAATCTAAATTCTACAATGACGCAGTTGTTCCATCCCCATATCTCAGGCAAGCGGTCCATGACTATGCCATATGGAATAAAGAGACCTCTATTCTGCCTGTCCATGGCAATGGTCTTCTCCTCATGTCAAGTTCCATGCTTTTGCGAGACCTACAGGCTGCTTGGTGCTTCGCTGCATGTACAACAGTACTATTGAAGCTCCCACACTGTCACAGCAATGCCACGACCGGTGCCCAGACACGTATCCCTCGTTGCGGTAATCACCGATCGACTGCTGACCTACTGGAGAGCTGTGCGGAAAATAACACTATGGTCGGACCTGACATGTGATCATCACAAAGACTACCATGGGACCCTAAACCCATGTCCCATTCTTGGAACTGCACACACCTCTCCTTTATATCTTTACTCTGACTTCGCCTCTTGTACATACACGCTTATACGTTGTTTGTCCCTGACTGCCTCGCAACTCAATGCGCCATTGTCTAGTTGCTTGTACTTTATTTCCTCGCTGTTGTCCAGGTAATTCTCAAGGAAATACTGTGCTGCCACTTCATTGGCGATCACCATGCTTCGGCGACTGGTTACTACCGCTGCCTCTTCGCCTGAGTGCGTGCCTGCCCTGCTCGCCACCACATGGTATATTGTCCGACCGTCATGGACTCGTGACGCTGATTTCTGCGAGTACAACGCCTCACGTAGCGCGAGCGGGTATGTGTTGATGTCCCCTGGTACCGTTTTTGTCGGACTCCGCGTTGCTATTGCCGCCGGTATAACCGAAGATACCGAAGGGGGCTGCGGCGGTTGGGCGTAAGGCCGAACATGTGTGTACGGTTGGGCGAGGGCTGGCGCAGGACCACTCGGAACGGGAACAGGAGCCAGATGCGGCTGCTGTTGTTGTTGCTGTTGTCTCTGGTGTTTGAGCAGAAAGTCGCGGTGTTCATCGAGCTGAGTTCTTAGTGCGTCGCTCGTGGTTTGGAAGATGCGCTCCTGGACGCCGGGGCCGAGATTGCGAGAATAGTGACGCAAGTCGGCGCTGCAGTCAAGCTGCAGCAGGCTTTGTTGACGATCAAAGGCATAAGGCCGCATAGAAGATGTTGCTGTCATGTTAGATGCTGACTTCACCAAACTCGACGAGGCACTGGAGAATGAGGGTGAAAATCTCACACAGTGTGCATGACGCGGATATTGTGCAATTCTTGGAAGCCCCGAAATCCGTATTCGCGTCTCCACGTGATGACGTGCGGCGATTAACAAGACACAGGTCTTAACAGGAGACTTGAATCAGACGACTTATGGCCTGCTTTGTCTTGTACTCTATATCTGACACGATCTCCTAGATAGATAGGCACATGGATGTTCGCACGTGTCCATTGATACCTGATCACAACTCGACAGACAAAAGAGGCTAGGAAATTACGGCTTCATTGTCCACCATGTATTTTTCTTCTACCACTGACAAGGCCGCATAATTAACTTTACTACAAATACATCCGAAGTGCCACCGTCGATGGGATCTAGACCCACATGTATCGTTACATAGGGCCGAGACATCGCTGTGCATTAACGAAAGTAAGACCATGGTGGTCTTGCCGCGTCACATCCTTTCCACGATCACGCCGAAACTACACCGCGCCTACCGCCGACCAAACATCACAACTGATAGAAGAACAGACAAACCTCGAGGATCGCAACACTGCATCTCCCAAACTTCTGCTGTTCTCAAAAGTATTACTCAGATGTATGCTACTAGCGGTCTGTAGATATACATCTTCATGATCATCAACAGATATTCATGTAATGGTCGAAACACACAGAATACTGAACAAAGCTGACAAACAGGAAGCTGTCTCTCGTATTAGCAATTTGACTCGGAATTTCAATGCCGCTTGGACATACTCAACTACTACTGCTATCATTTTTAGTAGCCCATAGGGAGTCGGCCATTGAGTGCTTCATGAGCATCGCGCAGGAGGGCCTCGTAATGCTCGCAAAGATCCGGGAATGCTACTATGGCATGCTTGACCGGAAGGGGGATGTCGCAGACAATCTTGCGCCAATCGTTGTGACGTCGGCAAACAATACTAATCAGCTCCCTCATGCACTTCAATCCCATGATGCAGATTGTGCGAGCCCATTCCATATCGACTGAGCCGTTCGGATGCTCAAGGTCCTGTGTGGCGGGGTTGATGAGTACAGACCATGTAAAGTTCCCGCGTGATGGGGATGAAGCTGCTGTAGGCGAGGTGGCAGGAGCTTTTCCATAGGCGGCGCCGAGCTTGTAGTACTGTGCCCAGACATCGTCAAACGGCTTTGCGAAGGGGTTTGGTGGAGTTTTGCCATGGGAGCCGTTGTAGTCGTGCTGACCTTGTCGAAAAGCCATCTCCTGCACAGCCAGGTGCTCAGGGATACCGTTCACAAAAGCTCTCTGAGATGTGACTGGACTAGTAAGGGGACCACGGCTGCCTTTGAGTGAGCTATCACGAGGTGAGCACCAGTTTTCGGATGCATGGTTGACATGTGAGTTGCAGCGAGTTCGCAGTGGAGTAATCGGCTATACATCAATTAGCCTACACTCGTTGAGACATCTTCGGGTTCAGGAAAGCTCTATGAGATGCATAGCTCGTAGTGGCTGCATATCGACCTGCCCTCCTCGAGATGAAGTAGTGAGATGTACTGTAGCATCGCTGTAGCCAACCTGTGACATGGACTGTCCAGACGAGGCGTGAGAACCAGCGGAGATGCTCCCATCTGATTCAAAGCTCGCTGTAGCCATTGGGACCTTGAAGGAATTGACCGGTTGGAAAGGCGCGGTATGGCCAATGCGATTAGAGTCGCAGTGGTTGGTAGCTTTGCCACCCCCTGCGGCTCTACCCTTGGTGGGCGTAAACATCTCAAGGACAGTCAGTAACAGGACTTGGGTGTAATCAAAACACGACAGTAACTTACCTGAGATGATGCCATTACTTAGACAGCTTTGCGGTTCTAGATGCGTCGAATATTGTACAGAAAGTAGAGGTACAATGCGAGTGCGTGTGTTGAGGGAGTGGTGACAGATACAAGGAGAGCTGCAGTTTTTTGGCAGCGGCGGCAAGCGCCAAGCCCACAATCATAACAACAAACGCCTGTGAGCCACCGTTTGCATATGCTCGGCCGTAAGTTAATTGGTGTCACCCCAAGTGGAGACGGATCTGGGCTTGGTCGTGCCTTCCGTCTTGAGATGCTTTGTTATGTGGTGAAAGTGAGTCAAGCGCTACGATGGGAAAGAGAAAACAAATGATAATCACATATGCCTGAGACGTATGTACTTGTATTAACGGCTGCTTGAAGCATAGAGCAGTGATGACTAAGATGGGGTACCGGTGATAGTAGTGAAGTGATAGACTAGAAAGAGGCTGATGGGATAGATCACACAACGTTGAATAGACGCAAGAAGCATATTGGAAAGATATATGCACATACATGATAGCCCAGCCCGTGTCGAGCGGGATATCATAACAGTGATAACAAGAAAGTAATAGTAAGAAAGTGAGATAGATCGAAGAATGAGCAAAGCTGAAAAGAGAAAAACAAATAAATCTTGGCGCAAAACGATCCACTGTAGGTACTACTACATGGAAAGAGAAGAATGGTAGCTTTACTGTCTACAAATAATCTCGAGGGGAAATCGTTCCTAGCGGGCTTCATTAACAACCCGAGTATTGTCTTCTTGGAGCACTGTCAATATACTGTCGATATAGCATAAGCTGCATTCGGTATTATAGAACCCTAATATTATGCATGTAAGAGCAAGTCTTTTGTAACGTGTTGGATCAGTAAGCTGGGCACCCCAAATCCCACACAAAATGGCCAAAACGGCATGTCGAGATCTCAACCACGCCTGCTTTGTCAGATAGCCTGGCCTTATATAGAACCTTTTGTTACTCTAAGAAGGTCTTATGTAGAGTATTAAACTACAGAACCTAGTCTATCTGTAAATATTGCATTTTATGGAAGATTTAGAGGCTAAAAGTTTGTTTCTTAGGAATTACGAATGGGAGATATCCTATAAACTAGAATATGCTTCGTAGTAGCGATAAAACATTATATACAAGGCCTGGCTATCTAATAAAGCAGACGTGGTTGAGATCTCGACATGCCGTTTTGGCCATTTTGTGTGGGATTTGGGGTGCCCAGCTTACTGATCTGCCCAGCTTACTGATCCAACACGTTATAGTTATAGTATGTTATATGTAAGACTGACGGAAGATTTGTAGCACGTCAAAATGGTCACGCGATCTCACAAGGGTTGGATGGAAATACTCAAAGCACGGCTGCAATTGAGAAAATTATAAGAATTCACATGTTAGAGAGCCATTGGCAATGTATGAAAGATACTGTAGGGAAAATGCGATACGAAAACGGTGCGCGAAGCTTCATGTTTATGGCGCGAGATGTAGACGAAAAGTCTTGACGTTTTCGACGATGATGTAGTGGCGCCGAGGGGAGATCGAGAAGCCGGGATCGTCCGACAAGCAGCGGCCACCAATCACATGCAGCGAGTTGTCATAACCGAGGGAACTTGAGTGGCACCCCAATGCTCCAACTTCAATGATACTAACACCTTGACCTCTGAGCCCAACCCGACACTCTCCACTCCACACCACCTAGCTATGGCTTGCACTCGCGCTCTTACTCGTCTGGCGCTGAGACCAGCTGGTATGCTCAACCATGCGGCCCTCCTCGACAGCCATTGAACACTGCTAACACCTTGCGACAGCCGTCCGGCCGGCAGTTTTCTCTCGCAGCTTCGCCTCCGTTACCGATGTCCACGCCCGCGACCCCATCTCCAAGACTGCCGAAAAGATTGTGCCTGATGCCGCGCAGAAACCCATTCCAGAGAGCAAGACGTCCAACATCAAGGAGTCCTCGCCCACCAAAGATGCCAAAATGAAGACTTTCCACGTCTACCGCTGGAATCCTGACGAGCCCACATCCAAGCCCAAGATGCAATCGTACACTCTGGACCTGAACAAGACCGGACCCATGATGTTGGATGCACTCATCAGGATTAAGAACGAGATGGACCCGACTTTGACCTTTAGGCGGAGTTGTCGTGAGGGTATTTGCGGAAGCTGCGCCATGAACATTGACGGAGTCAACACACTGGCATGTCTTTGTATGTGGAACAAGCCAGCAGATTGTGGTTGCAATGCTAACAATTCTTACAGGCCGTATTCCCACCGACGCAGCCAAGGAGTCTCGCATATACCCGCTCCCCCACATGTACGTTGTCAAGGACCTTGTGCCAGACATGACGCTTTTCTACAAGCAATACCGTTCCGTCAAGCCATATCTGCAGCGCTCCACCCCTGCGCCAGATGTACGTATATGAATTGACCCCACCTCTAGAAACTTGCATTAACAATTGGCCAGGGTCGTGAGTTCCGTCAGTCCAAGGAAGACCGCAAGAAGCTTGATGGTCTTTATGAATGCATTCTCTGCGCCTGCTGCTCAACCTCGTGCCCCTCGTACTGGTGGAACCAGGAGGAGTACCTTGGACCCGCTGTCCTCCTCCAGTCCTACCGATGGATCGCCGACTCGCGTGATGAGAAGAAGGCCGAGCGCCAGGACGCACTTAACAACAGCATGAGCTTGTACCGATGCCACACCATTCTCAACTGCTCAAGGACATGCCCCAAGGGACTGAACCCTGCGCTGGCCATTGCCGAGATCAAGAAGAGCATGGCTTTTACATAAACACATAAAACCAGGGGTTGATGAGTAGTGCTGCTAGGTAACATTCGCTGTATGTATGTGCGGTTGATGTTTTTTGTAACTAGGCTTGTATATTTTGAGACTTGTAGTAAACAATTCCAAGCGACTTATTTCACACGGTTAATTCTCAACGTTTGATGCGCGCTCAACTATCGCACGATATGCTAGTCTGTATTAAACTTTAAAAATCCGAAACCAGTTTCCTTACTAGTCATGCCTTCTCAATCCGTTTCTCCAACGCAAGTTTCGGCTCTAATCCTCAAATCTCATACAACATCATCTGCTTCAAGGACTGCAGCGAGTTGAGTTTGCCCCCCCCCTCCCCATCGTCTCTATCAATACCAACTTTAAAATTGTCGCCGCTTGAGAACTTGATACAGAGCAGCCCTGCAGCCATGATACAGTTCCGTTTATTGGGATCATTGGTTTCTTTTTTTTCTTTTTTTCTCTCTTCATGTGACGTGTGAGGACGTGTATGTTCAATGTGCTTGATAGCCCCAGGATCACGAGGCGTTTCTTCAACATAGGCATGAGATATAGTTGCACAAAGGTGTCGTTGGAAAAGGAATTTTCAGGTAACTTTCCCACATTACTGAGCATTATTGGGACTTGAGCCTCGGAATGATTCCTTAGTCTACGTTGCTCTTTCCTTTTCATTGATAGGCTCTGGACGGATGGGTTCGGACTGAAGCATGATCAGTGTAATTGCTAAAAAAAAATTCTCTCAAAGAATGCATGAACGCACCGTATTTATTCTGCACATGTGTTCTGGTAACAGTACTTAGCAAGATTGACACAATATTTTCTAATTCCTTGGTAGCCGCTATGTTGCCGCACCTACATCGCCGTTGGCAATGCAATGATTCCCCCACTCCCTCGACACTGTGTCAACAAGGCAAGAAACTACAAAACATAGAAGAATTTGCTCAGCAAACTAAACTTTACTATTCTATCATCATTGTCACCATCAAATAATATGTCCCAAACAGTGTTCACTTTACTAAATCAACAATACCACACACGTCTCCCCCAACCAACCACACCATAAACAGTAAAGCATCCGCACTCATTCCGCATCTACCCACCAATCACTCCCCTCCCTCGCAAACCCTTGACTACCTTGGCCTCAATGCAAACAGACTTACCACTCTCAAACAAAAGCAACTCTAACCTGTATATGTCTCCATTCATCTACCGAGACATTCTATTCGATTGATTTGTTTGAATTTCCAGGGCTATGCAAGACCAGTAGTGATTAACCATTGCGGCTCGCGCTAGAGAGATGAGAGCGGAGATTGGGATCCACTTTTGATGCAGGTACGTGGTCCTTTTTTTTTTTGCTTGTCCCTCTTTCCCCCCGCCCGTTATGGTCTAGTCGGGTACAGGTATAAGAAAGTTTGTCGGCAGTGGGAAGAGGGGCGGTGAGGGAGGGAGGTGGTGGTGGTGGTAGTCAGTTTGGAGATGGTTTGTGTATGTGAGAGAGAAGATAGGCATGTTCTGAGTGCGAATTGGCCACATAGGCAAACAACTTTCTAGTCGCGGAATCCAAAAACAAACTAGCCGATATGGTCAACAGTGAGGCGGTGACCCACCTCATCTTCCCTTCGACACTCGAGTCACACGAAATGATGTTGACAGAGCTCTGTGGCAGCGCTTTGTCGAATTGAGAGGTACAGATTCAGTGAATAAAATTGCTCGTTGAGGTATCTCGATTTGTTCATTATTACTACGGATCCCGATACAATCAGGATATCCGCAAGCCATGTCGCAATTCTCATCAAAGAAAAGCTCATGTAAAGTAGGCTGTTCGCGAATATTCAAACACATTATACACAAGCCTCTTGCCCGTACAACACTGTGACATGAAGCCTTCTGACTTTGGTATCGTGGGTCATGAATTCTTGTCCCTTTGCTCTCCACCCTCAGAAGCTGAATATATATTGCTCCTTCCACTCCCGCGCAAATCGACTTGGGGTATCTTATGCGGCGACGCCCTTGCTGGCTTGCCTCTGTTGATATTGTTAGTGCACTGTTGGAAGAGCGCAAGAGTAGAAGAAGCATGGTACGTACCTTCTTGTTGATAAACATGGCAATGAACAGAATGGCGACGAGGAAAACAATGCAAAGAACAACAATGACACCGGGCTCGCGCTGGGCCCAGTTGTCGCGCTTAGCAAGCTGGTGGAGGGTGTACTCGGCGCGAGCGGCGAGGGGCATGCTGATGGCGGCCATTGTGAAGGTAGGTTTCTGCGCGAGAGGAAAAGTCAGATAGGGTGTTCGAAGACGATGCGGTGCGGAATGCAAGATTCGTAGAGGTTAAGTTGAAGTAATTAAGACGATTGATGGATGGTCCGACGGAGCCTCGGCGATCTTGTGCGAAGGGGTTGGGAATGCCGCCCAAGCCCTTGGTCCGTGTCGCAAAACTACATTGTTTCGATGGGCGGGAGGATGCGACGATGCGACGTAATGGCCCACCCCAGCCCCCAACAGAGCTCCAGTGGAGAAGGCGGTGGGACGGAAAGCTTACATTTACGAAATTAATCGGACCTTGGTGGAAGTTGACGAGCTGGGGAGAAACAGCTTCTGTTTAGTAGCTGTTGCTAATTGACGAGAAGGCTGGTAAGCGCAATTCGGTTGAGTCCCACGGTGGTGTGATGGTTGTGAAGGGCACAGGAGGAGCTTGGCGGTGGGAATTGGGATGGCGCGGGTCAAACAGCGGTGCAGCGTCAAAAAGCGAAAACAGAAGCCTTAATACTCGAAGCGCTGATAGTCGGCTTTTTAAGTGCGCGCCTTCGCCGAAAATTTCTGCAGTTGATGAGGCATTTTGTATGGCCCGCGGTCCTAGCGGGTTGCCCGGGAGCTCCAAGCTTGCAAGGGTAGGTTTGCACCCAGTTCGGCCGGGGTGGAGAGGCAATGACGGAATGATTAGTACGTACCTTTGTTGGGCGAGATGCTTCGTTTGGTGTAGTCAGACGAGGGCAGGCTGGGTGAGATGCGGTGTGGATGTGTTACGGATTGTGTGAGATGACAACGAGACGAAAGCAGCAGCAGCGTTTGAGCAAAGGAGAATTAATAATGGCTGGGAGCTAGCAACGTCGCAATGAAGGACTGGGGAAGCTAGCTAACAAATGGGTTGAAAGAGCGACGTCACGTGTGCCAATGGCGCGGCATGCAATCACACACTACGGCATCCATTCGTATGAGGTGTGATGAGCGCTGCTATCATCTGGTGTTGTTTGGAGTAAGAAAGGGTCTTGAACGGCTCTCCCCATTGTTACGTAGCTGTTCACCGTAGCTCCTTTACCACGCCTACATAGTACCCTCCACGACCTCCACAACTGCATCGGCGTCGCTGCAAGCCGCCGCTGACGCTACCCATCGGCTCCACCCAGCCGCGTCCAGGTTCGCTGCGACACGGTTGAGTGTTGCTGTTTCGGTGATAGCAGCAGCGGCGGCATTGGCTGCACTTATGTCATCAGCCAATGCTTATCTCTTCTGACTGATGCTCCGAGTCGGCCGCGAGCCTAGAGCCGACGGTGGCATGCCATGCAAAAGATAGACCGAGCACACCGGAAGCCAAAACAATACAACCACCCCAATAATGCCTCATTTATCACACGCCTCGCCTCGCCTCGCCTTGCCTTGCCCCGCCTTGCCTGGCGCTGGACCTGCCCGGTGTTCGGTGCCCGATGCCGAGAGCGCCGACAGCTGCTCCAGATGAGTACATAGTTGCGTGGGTGTGATGTTGACTGGATTAGTGTGTTTCTGCGATCCTCACTAAGCTTCTGCAATGCTTGCCCCCGCATCTTGGCAAACATTGGCGTCTTGACTGTGACTCGCGCGGGCCCATGCCTGACGCATTGCAGCCCTCATATCAACGCTCCTCTTCTCGTGCACATGCACCAGTTGTGGCGAGCTCGACGGCCAGCACTTCCAAGGCCATATGTACACATTCAACGTCACACTCACCCCCCTCGCTCGGCTGCAAAACCAATATTGCTGATATCAACAATATCGGCGTAGCGCACATCCTCCATGACTCGGGCCGTATCTAATACCACGCCAGGCACAAAGCAATTATCCATCATCCCATCATAACAACTGCAATGTGCAACCATCCGTCCAGGTATGCTGCTGCACGTACCAAGTCCTCCACACTCGCCCCCAACGGTAGTGCTGCTCCGTGGAGGACTGCTTGTGCCAGTAGTGGACTTCGCCTGCTCGGAAATAATCCAGGTAGCACGTGATTCAGTGCTGTGCCGATCGTCTGTGGTTGCCCTGGTCCCGTGTTAGCCTCACTTGACGTCCACACCGCAACCACGTGCACCTACTAGACGACAGACTCGGTGTGACCAGTCTTTGTACAATCCTCAAACTCCCGGGCGCCGTCTCTTCCTGCACACCCTCCGTCGCTGCATGCGGCAAATACAGTCTGACCGGTAAATGTCTCAGACTGACTCCCTGTGGGTTGAGTAGTTTTTGGTTGATGGGGTTATATAGCGCAAACTCGTGTTTCTTAACTCCCTCCCACAGCTGCGTGCTGTCCTCCTTACTCAGAAACATGACCGTCTTCCCTGTGCCCGTCCGCAGGTAGTCTGCCTCCTTGACGCTTTGAATGAATAAATCGTTGAGGTGCTTGCCGTCATTGTCGAGTTGCACCAGCTGCTCGGTCGGATAGTCTGAAAAGTGAACCGTGAGACGCCATGGAAGCCGACCGTGTTCCTCTTCGGCGCCTTCAGGCTGGTGTGCTGGTGCGGCCTCTACGTCTGCGCCTGGGGGATATGCAGGCTCAGCTCCAGAGTAGAGGTCATACAGGAGGCCAAGGGGATAATGCCACTTCAACGGAACATCTTCGTAAGAGAGCCATGCGTCTTTCGGGCTGACATCCGGGTAGATGAGGCTGCGCGAGAAGAAGGTATGCAGCTTGTGGATCAACAGGCCAAGGTACGAAATCCGTGGGAATTGTATCTAGCAAGCTCGTCAACACACAACTCCCAGCCTGCATACAACACCTCATCGAACAGCAACATGCTTCTTTCCACGTACTATGTAGGGATCCGACTCATCGTACGTCCTGCAGTCGCCTTTGTGCAGCCGTATCTCGAGGGGGATGCTCCCGTTCCAGGTGCTTTGTCGCAGTCTGCCTGTGACGTCTTTAGAAGCCATCGAAGCGAATACATCCAAGATGCACGTTGCACGCCCGCCTGCTGAGAGAGTCTAGGCACACACGAGCGATAGTGGGGTAGTTCCCAAAAGGCTGTCATGACTATGGCGGGGTAAGTCAGCATCTATGCAGGGAAGCAGAAGCTCGGGCGGCCTAGTAAGCCCTCGCATCCTTCCCCTGAGTCTCCTGCCCACGCGTCGTCTCTGTGACAACCGCAAATCCTCCACGACGTTATGTAAATCAATGTACGCTGGCGGGTTCAGCCATATCCTCTCTCTTTTCCCTGCAACATCGCGACTGAAAGTGGTGCGACAGCGTAGATGGGTGACTTACTAACGCAACATAGCTGGACCATGGACGTGGCACTGAGCCGCAAACGCTCGCGCCTGGCCCTCGAAGATGACGAGGATCTGCCACCAAAGAGGGAGCCGTCGCCTGCGCCATCTCCGTTTGGAGACACTCTGAAGAAATCAAAGACACAGTGCGAGCTGGAGGAGCTGGAAATCATACGCCCGGAAGATGCGTGGACCGTCGATGTAGACGCCATACTAGCCAGCAATGTGCTCGCGGCGCCACCGGATAGTAAGCTACAGGCACATAATAACTGGGCCAGATACCAACGGGGCCAGTCGATAACGGTACTGTGCGTGCAAGGTAATGTTCAGATACACTATGAGCTGTTATGGTACGCTGCGTTCCAAACTCAGGAAAAATTCACAATTAACATCCCACAGCTCGGCCTTGCCAGACCTCTATAAACTCTCGCCCTCACTCCAAGCCCTTGTTCTCTGCCATGACCCTTCTACACATCGCCTCTCTCCATCTGCACCCTTTTCGCTCCCTTTGGTACAGGCTGCCACCACATCCAACAACCATTTTGTCCGGCTGGGTCTCTTGCATCCTCTAGGCGGAGGAAAGTTCCCATTAGATGCGCTCGTTGTCCTGGATAGAAATGCAAAGAGGAGGCTGGTGTTGCCATTTGGATGGGGCGCTGGCAAACATGCGGGCACGCCTGCGGGCCGGAGTATACAGATGACACTGATGCGCTTACTGAGAAGTTGCGTTGAGCAATTGCAGCAGGAAAGCTGATATTACAGAGATTTCAAAGAATATCACGTGCCCCCTTTTGGCACACCGTTCAAATCTATACTGACTCTGGACCCGTAATGCTCAGTTGTGAAGGAATTGTGAAAGTATCAGACCCAAATGAACTGAGGTGTATACAATTTTGCAGCTCTAAATTGTCTAGTTCTTGATATGAGGGTATCTACATATAGACAGCGCCATCTATGCTATCTTCTTCACTGTCAATGTCCCCGGCGCATCGCCTTCCAACGCCACAAGCCCGCTTGACTCAATCTCCTTCTTCCACTTTGTAGACTCGTACCTCGCCGTAATTACAGTAAGCCTCAGTACTGGCTCCTCTTTCGATTCCTCACCTGCAGGCAATGCAACAGGTGTAAATGTCCAACGGCCAAACGCCCAGTTCAAAATATATCTCCCTCTTCCTTCTGGTATTTGCTGAGTTGATGCGGGTGTAGTGTCTGAAGACTTGGGCGGTGTAGAAGCATAAAGTATTCCCTTTATCCTGTATACTTCGTCCTTTGTCGGATCTTGCAGGAACTTTACCAACTTCGACGTATCCACGCTCCCCGCCTTGTCCTCGCTCTTGAGCATCACAGTCAGGACCTCTACCTCACTCGAATGCCCATGGTCATGGTCATGCGCATGCGCCCCGTCCTTTGTTTCCTCTGTAACGCCCGCAAGCCGTGCATCCAAGCCAAACACGATATCCTTGTCCACCCAGCCCTTGCGACTCTTAGTCCTGGGGATCTGTGGCTCCACCTCGAGCGCCAGAATGGCGTCTTCCACATCTTCCAGCCGCCTCTCGCTAACCAACTCATGCTTGTTCAGCACGATGAGATCGGTGTACCGCGCCTGCATTTTCGCCGTAATACTCGTGTCTTCGTATCCCTTCCAATTCTCTACATCAATGACACTCATTACGCCGTCGAGTACATATTTGCCCGTCTCGCGGCTCAGCCGGTTGACCTCCATGGCCAGCGTGGCTGGGAAGGCAGACCCAGAAGTCTCGATTACAATGCGATCAGGTTCTACATCGCGGGCGAGCGTTTCGAGCGCGTCGGACAATTGGCCTACGAGGTTGCAGCATATACAGCCGTTGAGCAGCTCTTGCACGCCAGAAATGGCCGCTGAAGACGCGAGCGCAGTGTCTACTTTGACATCGCCATACTCGTTCTTAAGGAGCGCGAGCTTGTACGACGGGGGCAGCTGGGGGATAAGGTTTAAGATGAGGGCTACGTGGTGTTAGCAGGAGGAACCAAGAAACATGCACGCATACATTCAATATCTGGGAGATTGCAGGGTAAAAAGACTGATAAGCAAGGATAGTAAGTAAGTGAGTCGCAACATACTCGTCTTTCCCGAGCCCAGAAACCCCGTGATGATGGTAATCGGTATCATCACGTCAAAGCAGAAAAGCTTGAGTCAACGGCTACGTGTAGTAAGTAGTACGTAGAGAAAGGAAACAAGTTTAACCGGCAACAATGACGCTCTAGATCCAAGCCGTTCGCGCCTAAGAAACAAAAAGGAAAAGCTGAAATGATGAAATCCGATTCGAAAACTCCCCGCACGTGTCAAACACACTCACATATCCCACCCCAACCCTTAGCGACAATAAAAAACGTGCTAGTTGCAGCTCTGGCGCGGGACGTGGGCAGCGGGGTCTACTAATGACGTCGGCGCGCAGCTCGCGCGGGGCAGTGCTAATCCCAACGGGTAAATCACCGCTACACATCAGGTACAAAGAGCGGTAGACCAGATAGACAAGGAGCCTATCAAACCATTGTTTTTCTCAGCTGGGTAAAATGATGCAGTCTTGGAATCTGTCATCGATGTGGGGGGGGGGGGCTGAGATCTTGGTTCTAACCCCGTTGCTTTCGTTGCTTGCTTCCTTCCCGCAGCCCGCTCCCCCCCTTAGGTTGATCGACCTTGTATAAATAGCTCTTCTTTCCCCCGTCTACGATATACCCTTCTTCCTCTCTTCTAACCATTAACAATCAAACAAGCTTTTTCTAGTTAATCACTCTACTACCTACCTCGCATCAAACCCTTCGTCTTCTTTTAAAAAAACGAACATAAATTCATCATGGACTTCGTCAACAAACTCGCCGGCGGCCAGGGCCAGGGCCAGGGCCAGTCTGTAAATGAACAGGTCGTCAAGGACCAGAACGCGGGACAGCAATCGTCGGGCTCGGGTGGCTTCCTCGGCGGCATTGGCAATAAGCTCAACGAGGCTGCTGGCGGCGGCAAGGCCAGCGAGAAGAATGAGGATTACCTTGACAAGGGTAAGTTGATCTTTACTACTACTACTACTACTACTACTACTACTACTACTACTACTACTACTACTACTACTACCACCCTCCTTCCCTTTCCCTTTTTTTTACTAACAAACACATGTACAGGCGTCGACTTTGTCCAAGAAAAGTTCCTCGGTCAGGGTCCTCAGGACAACGAGTCTGCTCTTGAGCAAGCCAAGGACGAGCAGATCAGCGACTTCATCCGTGGACAATACAAGGGTACCACCGGCAAGGACATGCCCGTCAAGGACAAATAAGCTCGTCGTAATGAAGAAGGTTGCGGGCGCTGGGAGCTACGGCCTTAGGAGTGACGGCTGCGGCAGTCGATGTCTTGCTGGCCATGACGATGCTGTTATGATAGTCATGAAATGAAATAATAACGACCCGTGTCACTTGTCTACGCTGATGCTTGTGATGTTCAAATTTCATGCGATTGATGCTGCAAGTAATGTACTTCTAGTGCCAAACACCTATGATCTACCGACATTGCGTTATATGACGATCCATCTCGGTGCGCCAAACACAGAGTCATTCCACTGCTATCATACACTTATCCGTCCACCTTACAACTGCTCAATTCCCTCGACAAGCTTGTCAAACATTGCATCCGAACCGTCATTCAGCAGCCCCTGCATCATGCGCGACCTATTCATCATTAGTTCTCCTTTCTCCCCATCAGGTTATCACCATGCACTTACAAATTCGCCAGCTTGTGAGCCTCCATGCTCTGCTCTAATTCCGCGCTCTTCACCTCCGCCACGTCAATAACCTTATCGGGCACTCTCGCCAACCGAGCGACATTGAGTCCATATGACCGATGACTGATGCCTTCTGTCGCTTCGTACAAAAACACCACTTCCCTCCCGCCATTTTGTTCTTCAAACCGCATATGCACATTCTTCAGTTGGCCATCGGGAAATCGTGACGGAACCCTGGCGAGGTGCTGGTAGTGCGTGATGAATAGTGTCAGAGACTGCAAGTCACGAATGACGTAGTCGAGCACTGCTTCCGCTATGGCAACACCGTCAAAAGTCGAAGTACCGCGGCCGAGCTCGTCAAGGATAACGAGAGAGCGCGGGGTTGCGGATTTGAGGATGTCGGATGTTTCATTGAGTTCGACCATGAATGTCGACTCGCCTTTGAGCATGTTGTCGAATGCGCCCATGCGAGTGAACACTGCGTCTAGCATTCCTAAGCGTGCCTCGTTGGCTGGTACGTAGGACCCGATTTGTCCCATGATGGCAATTAGTGCGGCAGAGCGTACAAAGGAGGATTTTCCTCCCATGTTGGGACCTGTTACGAGAAGGGCGCGGGTCGAGTCGTGTGATAATGAGAGGTCATTTGGCACGTAGCTATCGAGAAGTAGCTGCTCAACCATTGGATGTCGACCACCGGTGATGTTGATTTGAATGTCGTCTGTGAAGGTGGGCTTTACGTAGCCTGGCTGGTTTGCTAGGGTAGCGAGAGACAGAAGAGCGTCAAGCGTAGCCAAAGAAGCTATGCAATCTCGCAGTTGCTGATACTTGGATGAAATCTCCTCTAGTAGACGCATGTAGGCCCTATCGCACGCGGCAGCAAGTGACTCTTTGTACTGATCCCGCTCTTGGAGCATACGCTTGACTTCCGGAGTGTGGAAGCGAAGAGTAGCCTTGGTAGCAGAGATTTGCTGCCATGATGCAGGGACTTTCTTCTCCTCGGGTGATTTCCTCTTGACTTCAATCAGATACTCAATGCCCGCAACAGTAACGTAGTCCACCTTGCTCTTTCCAAGCTTTGCTGCTGCCTCTTTGCGGTGTGTGCTGAGGTCATCTTCTACCGACGCAATGCTGAGCTTCAGATCATTGATGTCCTCCGCCTCATGCTCTTCTCGGAAGAATGAGTACTTGTCGTCATCTTTGGCGGCACTCGCGTTGATCTTGTCAAGGAAGCCATTCAAGTCCTCATATATCTTTGGAACATTTGAGACAGCTTCACTCAGCAGTGTTGACAAGAAGCCGCTTTGCTCAGGCGTCTGAGCAGACAAGTATTGGCTTGATATTTCTTGAAGCGCCTGCAGAGCTGATAGCAGTTCAGGTCTCGTGCATTTCTTGTAGTATATCCGTATGAGGACTTTCTCAAGATCAGTCTTGATCTCTCCCAACACAAACTTCAACTTATCCACGGGTATGGTGTGTTCGCCTTCCTTGAGCTCTTCAACGGCTGCAATGCGCTCTTCCAGCTTGACTTTATCAATCAATGGTCGACCAACCCATTTCCTGAGCAGCCGTTGTCCAAAACGAGTCTTTGTCCGGTTCATGGTCCAGAACAAACTGCCCTTCGAAGTGTAGTCTGTCTGGTTTTGGTAAATCTCTAAACTGGACAATGTATTTCCGTTGAGTAGCATGTATGATCGTGCGCTGAAGGGCTGAAAGTACTTGGTGAGATCGAAGACATGTTCCAGTCCGTACTCGCTGAGGTATGTAATCATAGCAGACAGACATATAGTAACGTGTTCTGATAGCTGATGCACCTTGTCTAGGACCGCACCTTGCTTTTCCGAATCAGCGTCTGTACTGGATTTCATTTTGCCCGCATAAAAGTTCGAGATATGACTGTGTGCTTGTGCAGCCATTGTCTTGGGCTTCTCCACCCTCTCCACTCGTGACCTGTCTCCAAATACGTTGGTCTTGCTGGCCGAGAGGTGTTCTATTAGCTTGTTGGTAGCTTTGGACAGATCGCCAACCACCAGAAATTCAGCTGGCGCAATGTGAAGCAGGCGCGTCTCAATCTCGCTACGCATGAAGCCGTCCTCAAAGTCATCGTAGATGATATCGCCTGTTGCCGGTTGTACAGCTACTAGTCCGACCTGAACCTTCTCATCTGTACCCCAACCCTTGGCATTGCTCTCGGTGATGCAAAGCAGATATCCAGTCGACTGTGCACTGGCACCTGAGCCCTCGGTTGGTGTTTCCAGGCCTTCTACATCATCTACATATGTGCCTTTGGTGTAGAGGTTTGTGAGTTTTCGGACAAACGGTGCATTCCTGTTGTTGCCAGCCGCCTTGAGCGCTGCTGTTTCCACCTGGCGCACCACACCAACTTTATGGTTCGCTTGTACAAGGCGTTTGACGTGGACTTGCAGGCGATGGGTGGGGAAACTCGCAGATGCAAATTTGTCCAGGTGCGCCTCAGAAGGATGCTCGTCGTAGCGAAACTTTCCCGGTATGCAGACGATTCCCAGCTCCTTAGATGCGATTCTTGCGTCTTCACCAAAGAACTTGTACTTGTATCCCACCTCCATGACGATGATAGTGTCCAGATGCTTGCGCTTGATATCGAGATATTGGATTTCCATAGGTGTCAGCTTGCTGGCCTTTTTCGTGGCGACGGCCTTCTTGCCTTTGATAGGCTTTTGTCGGGGCTCTTCTTCGTCATCCTCGTCGCCTTCGCCCTCCTCCTCATTAGCGTTATCCTCTGAAAGGATCTTATTCCGCCTTCGCAGCTCGGCAAAGCTATCAGGACGACCCAACTTCTTCACAAACTTCTTATGTAGTCTCTCCTTTTGCTTTTGGGCAGCTGCGGCATCTTCCTCATCATCATCATCGTTGTCTAGTTTGTTCTCGTCTTGAATCGCCGGTGATGATGAGAACAGAAACTTGGATGTTCTGTCGGTGATTCTTGGGGGCTTCGATGCATCTGAGGCAGTGGCGGATGTGTGTGTAGGTGATTGTTGCGGAGAGACGTTTTTGGTGAAGCGAACGCGTTTGGAAGGCGAGGACCGACCTGAGTCTTGGGGTTGATCATCGTCATGTACTGCGCGCTTACGGAGAGTAAGAGGTGTCCTTATTGGAAGACCATCTTCTTCGTCATCGTCATCATCGTCTTTCTGGGTCGTGCCGTTGGTGGCGGGCGGAGACTTTGTTCTTGGTGGAGATGCGGGAGTAGCAGCGGGAGCGGGAGCGGCAGGAGTGGTGGCAGCAGCTTTGGGGGGTTGTGCCGGCTTGCGCGTGAAGAAGCTCGATATTGTCGGCTGGGTGCTCTTCTGAGACGATTGACTGCTTTTCGGCGCCATTGGACCGTTTGTGAGTTGTAGGAAACAGATGGTCGGTGTGTAGGTGGAGAAAGCCGGAGACGCGTAACGAGCATCGCGACTCGGGCGTTGCGACCTGGTTACATCACGGTGTCACGTTTCTGGGGTTTTTAACCGTGCTTAGGCCTTGTACCCCACACAGAGATAAGGCTGCCGAATAATGGGCCATGGCTGGATCGTCGGGCTATCTTTCTTAGACCCTTTTGTCTTGGCCGCTTCTGCTGTTTACATGCATTATGCGGCCTTTGGGTGCTGGCTGTCGAACCTTAACATAGAGTTTGACAGATTGACTTGTGGAAAAAAAAAGAGGCTTCTATGATTACCTGATAAGCAGCTAGGGGCCCCATAGTACATGACTGTCATCATCGCAGGACCATATCGCTCTAGTTGGTTCACGATCTTCTTCAATGGTCCTCCCTCAACACTTCTTGCGTCATTTTTCGTCCAGGTTGCGACCAGCGCCAAAACCTCCAAGTACCGCAGACGGCCCGGCTTCAAGATACTATCTCTTCACTTTTCAGCGCTATCATCAGAATTTTCTTGACCATGTCCGTAGTAATGCCTAGAACCCCGCACACTTCTCATGCCAGCTTCCGCTTTGCGTTGCTGACGCTAAGCACTTTGAGTAACTGCCCTGGCTATCTGGTAGGGGCCAGTATCCTCCGCTGTCGGCATATGTACTATAAAGAGGTACTGACGACTCCTCGCATGCCATCACCACACCGACCTCGCAGGCTTCTTTCTCCCCCGTCCGTTTGGTAACAGCATTGTGCTGCCTGAAGTATGGCGCCATCTTTGCTTGTCAAGCCCTTGATTGGGCTCTTGATACTGCAGAGCGTATTGGCTACTCCAGTCAAAAGGCATGTTTCCTTCTACAAAGAGGAGGACCCTTACTCGCTCCGACCTCATGAGCCGCGGCTTGGTGCTGTAGCTTCGTCTACCGCGATTTGCAGTCGTATTGGAACCGACCTATTGAAGGCGGGCGGTAATGCGGCAGACGCCATGGTTGGTACCGTGGCATGTGTAGGCGTCGTTGCCATGTACCACTCTGGTAAATCCACCTCCCAAAGTGCTTCCTACAGGAGTTACTAACAGATGGTAGGAATTTCTGGGGGAGGCTTTATGCTTGTCCGTTCACCAAACGGCACATATGAGTTTATTGACTTCCGCGAGACAGCTCCAGCCGCTGCTTTCGAGGATATGTACAAGAATAACACCGTAGCTAGTGAAAGGGGCGGTCTCGCATCTGGCGTTCCAGGTGAACTTCGTGGTCTGCAATACCTTCATGAAAAGTATGGCCGCCTCCCATGGAAAACTGTCATCAAGCCAGCCGTCAAGGTCGCCGAAAAAGGTTGGAGGGTGAATGAAGATCTTGTGAGGTACATGGCTTCTGCCTCAAACAACGGAAAGGACAACTTCTTCGTTAATGATAAGGAGTTTGCGATTGATTTCGCACCCAAAGGCCGTCTTCTCCAGCTCAACGAGACCATCACTCGAAAGCGCTATGCCAAAACACTCTCAATCATCGCAGAACAGGGCCCGGACGCATTCTACAAAGGACTGTTGGCAGAAGCTACAATCCGCGCTCTCCAGGCCGCCAATGGCACCATGACGCTCGAAGACCTAGCAAACTACACCGTGGCCATCCGCAAGCCCTCGTCCATCACCTACGGAAACTACAAACTCACGGCCTGCAGCGCCCCCTCCGGCGGCAACGTCGCCCTCGCCGCCCTCAAATTTATGGAAGGCTACTCAGGCGTCGGCGACCCCCTCAACGCCAACCTAACCACGCACCGTCTCGACGAAAGTATGCGCTTCGCCTACGGCATGCGCTCAGAACTCGGCGATCCATCTTTCGTCAAAGGCATAGACAAATTCCAGCAGCAAATGCTCTCCAACGCCACGGCCGCCGAAGTCCGCAGCAAGATCCTCGACGACAAAACCTTCCCCGTAGCCTACTACAACCCCTCTGGCCTCGAATCCCTCGAAACCCCCGGCACAAGCCACGTCGTCGCCGCCGACGCAAGCGGCCTCGCCATCTCCCTTACCACAACCATCAACCTGCTCTTCGGCAGCAAACTCATGGTCCCGGAAACCGGCGTCATCATGAACAACGAAATGAACGATTTCAGCATCCCAAACACTACAAACGCTTTTGGATATATTCCCAGTCCTGCAAACTTTATTCGACCCGGAAAACGCCCGTTATCCTCAATTGCTCCCGTCATAGTCGAGCACCTCAACCTCGCAAATGTGACCAACGCTTTTTACATTGCTATCGGTGCGGCGGGCGGCTCGCGCATTATTACGGCGACGATCCAGAATATTATTCATATGCTGAGTGGCAATATGACGACGGCGGAGGCGCTGGCGCAGCCTAGGTTCCACGATCAGCTTGTGCCGGCGCAGGTGAGCTTCGAGTATGCGTTTGATAATGCTACGACGGCGTATCTGCAGCAGATTGGCGCCAATGTGACGTGGATGGCGCCCGGGAGCAGTAGTGCTCAGGGCCTGAGGTTGTTGCCGAATGGCACGTTTGAGGCGGCGAGTGAGCCTAGGCAGAAGAATAGTGGAGGTTTTGCTGTTTAGACGAAAAGACATGTTTGATGCCGATAACAATGACGGAGCTGTTCGACAGTTCAAGGACCTTTGGAATGAACTATTCCCCATGTACATAGATACGATACGACACTTACCTCGATGAACTCTACGAGTCAAAGTAAACCCATTACTACTGCTTTATGACCAAATTTCACGGACGCAAAACACAGCTTCCAATCGTATGAACAAGTGAATTGTATTCATCTGATGCATATATTGCACTCATGTTTCTCTCTATTAGAGTAGCCCATTGTCTACTTTGGACAAGAGACTACTAAGTGGGAGGGGAGAAGAAAAAAAGGGAATAACGCTTTTTGTAAGCCCCGTCAAACGTGTATCCATCATGTCGGATCACGTGAAAGAAAACGCCGAGAATGTACACTGCAAAACAGACCAGAACAGGGATCGACCAAGTACAAGAGCTGCTGTACCTATCAGCTCAGTCGACCACCCGTCTGCAGAGACAAGGCAAAAGTGCCTGCCTTCGATCGTAAGCCATGCCATGGATCATGGGAGGTCTCGCTATCGTCGGACGCAACTGATCAAGAGTTACCTTCGGGCGAAGCGGCTGGGCTTATTAACTCTCATGGGTAGGGCGAAGGGGTAAGCACACCTCATCTGCGTAAACATAGTCAGTAACAATTCGAGACAAGTAAAGGACATGAATGCATACCAAAATCCCGTCGCACTCCTAGAAACGACTTCGGTGATTAGGCTTTGCTGGCGTAAGGGGGAGAGCGGCGGAAGGGTCCTCGATCTGTTTCGCACTGTATCAAACACCAAATGTTAGCAAGCACAATAACATGATAAGAAGTTGGTGCATTACGTTTTGCCGGCAGTCATGCAAATGCAAAAACATGGTACATGATGAGAACAAGTTAAAAAGGGACAGGGGATGCTAGGGTAAGACAACAGCAAGCCTACAAAACTGAAGCTTGACGCAACCTGGCTCTGCGGACGATGCCTAGCGCAAGTCTACTTGCGCTGGCGTTTGCTTGCTGCAATGTGAGGCTCGCCTTTTCGTTTCTGATGGGCAGGGGTTTGGGAGTGGGCTCTTTGAGCAGATGATACATACCCGTTCACTTCCTTGTCTAGCTGCATGTACTCTTCGACTGCATTCTTGCCGCCACGATTCAGGAGATAGGCCATATAATAGTGTGACAACTCTTTCGACGTCTCAGCAGAGAAGTGACCTTTGATACGCATAAGCTCGTGAGCCGCCTTGATCCGAGCATGCGCCGCTTCTTGGTTGGGAGAAGGCTGTGCAATTTCGAATTCCAAGTACTTCATCCAGAACTCGCGCGAGTCTGGGAATCGCTCATGCTTGTCCTTGAAGACTTGACGAGCTTCATCGATGCTGTTCTTGCACTGCCAAAGAATACGTGCTTGTTCCGCCGCGAGTATGCCGCCTATCTGATTGTTGGAACGGTCAATGTACTCCTCTAGGAGGCGGACAGCCGCATCGTTGCCTTCGTGCCGTCGCTCTAGACCTGCCAGGGAGATGAGAGTCTCGGTGTGCTCTGGTGCCTCTTCGAGCATAGCCAGGTAGATATCACGAGCGACAGATGTTCGACCGAGTTTCTCTTCGAAATGAGCCCAGTTGAGGCGTATGGCGGGGGCTGAGATGGGCACAAAGATACAGCTGGCTCGCATGTAGATGATCCTCGCATTCTCCTCTTTGCCCTGGGCAAACATCCAGCGGGCATATCGCAGCCAGAATTCGTCGTACAAAGCACATGCGACCAAACAGCGCTCATACAGGAACGCGATACGCTCAAAGTCACCCTGCTTCTCTTCGTAATCTAGATACTTGCGCCAGTTCTCAAGTTCGGACTCTTCGAGCTCGGTGACGTGGAAGTAGGCCCTCTTAATGGCATGCTCATAGGTCCAGCGGCTGGTAACATCTTGCTGTGTCTTCGAGTACGAGCCGTAGTACCATTCAGTTATCTTGGCGCGCAGCTGCCGCTCAATCTCAAGCGCTGGCTTGTCAGGCTGTCCCTGATTCTCCAGGTGAACAGCGGCTTTCAACTTTTCGAGTGTTTCCGGACCGGCTAGCTCTTCTACTGGACGGTTGGAGAGAAGGACGGAGAATTTCTCATAGTACCGAGAGAACTGGTAGATGGGTATGTGCAAAACACGGCTGTAGATCTTGGTAACATTTGCTGGCTCTTGGATGCGCTCCTCGAATTCGATATACTTGTCCCAGAATGGGTGGCTCTGGAAATCCAGACCGACAAAGTGAGCACCTCGCTCGAATAGCCTGTTGAGTTAGCATTGAAAGGTCTGAATAAGGAGAGTACGACGAGGAGAGAATGAAAGGGGACGATCTTGAAAAGTAACTTAGTGTGCCAACAAAAGGATGGTAAGGCTATCGAACTTCGTCCTTCCAGGGTCTTGGGCAACTCTTTCGCGAGGGCAGAGTGTGAACGGAGTGGGGGGAGGGCAACGGGATGATGGGACATGTAAACATGTAGCGCCCGAGCGCGCCCGAGCCCACCGCTGGCTACGGCGATTTGAGCCTCGGAATCGGGAGGAGGGAAGCGGGGCAAAGGCAGGACTCACTCTCGGATAATGTCGTTGTCATGCGACGTATCCATCTTGAAGCTGCAGTAGTTGGCCCACAGGTCTACTGAAGTAGTGATGCATGAGACACCACGCTCGTATACCATCTCGGCAGTCTCTGTGCCGCCAATCGAGAATTCGAGGTCGGCATACTTCTTCCAGTAACCGAAGAACAGTGGAAACTTGGTGAGAAAGCAGTCGTAGACGTTGCGGACAAGCTCGATGGTCGAGGGACTGGAGTTGCGAGTGACGCCGCCTTCGAGCTCGGAGGCGCGAGTGACGAGCACTTCCCATTTGTCGAAATCATCTTCGCTCTCCACCTATATATGCTGTTAGCGAAGGTCTGTAGCGAGGCAATGGGACACTCACCACAGCGCTGAGGAGCTTGTTGATCTCACCTGCAGCCTCTTCCCCGGTGTAGTGCACCTGGGCAATGCTGCCGCGCCCGGTGGCCAACATGATGGCGCGTCTTGGGCTCTGTGCAGGAGACTGTGCGTACGAGTTAGTTATGGTATTGATGCGACTGCGGGCAACAGCGCGGTGGTGATGCGGCGGCGACGGTGACGACGGCGAGAGGTTTGTGTGTGGTTGTCGAGAGGTTTGCGACAGTCGTACCGTAGAAGCCGCGCTCGAGTTCGCGTCGGCGAATCCACTTTCGTCAGCGCCGAAGCTTGCAGGCGCCAAGCCCAGCGTTTGCCCAAACCAAACGGCAGCCTGGCGGGCAGCCAATAGCAAGAGAGCAACGCGGCTGCAACTTTGGATTTTATTCATCGTGTATTCACCTATCTAGGATCTTACAAAATAGCCAACAAGGCCGCCAAGGTATCACGCCAAACAAGAGGGCTACGGGTGCCTCTCCATTCAAGACAGAATTCCAGATCCCAAGACTCCGGCACAACAGTAGAATCTATCCATGTGCTTACGCAGCACTTTCTTCTTTCAAAAAAGGTGCCGTATCACTGGCTGAAAACGAGAAGGGACTCTTGCCTACTTCCGGGCTCCGTGGGCTGATAGGCAGCGCGAAGAGTCCATCATCCTTGTCGTCGTCGTCTGCAGACCCCAGTGGGCCTCGAGATTGGAAAATGGGCGCTGGGCCAGACAAGGCATTTAACGAGCCCATGCCAGCGCTCTGCTGTTCTGTGATAAACTGTGGAGGTGCCTGTGCTGCGATTCTCCGAGGTGGATCTATTGGCTGAACCTGGGGTGGTTGCGGAGGCTTTGCCGCAAGGCTAGCTGGATTTGCGCCCTTGAAGACTGCAAAAGAACTAATAGCAATGTCTGAAGATTCGGGCGATAGGGGGTTGGAGAAGCCCTGCATACTGTTGCTGGGTGAGAGGTCCTTTTCACTCGTGCCTAGTCGCAGTCCTGCCAGCTTGTCCATGAGGCGGCCCCCGCCAGGAGACCGTGGGCTAGAGGGTGCCTTCATCGGTGCCAGCACGGGCTCGCCAAGTGAGATACTTAGGCCTGCGGGTTTGGCATTGACTCCGAATGTCGACTCAATCCATTCCTTCTCTTGCACGGCCATGAGTAAGCCGACACCCTCGACGTTGGTACGTGACTCTGCTTCAATCTCCTTCTGTAGTACCTGCAGCCTTTTCTTTGCCCAAATGGTGTGCAGGACACCCTTCTTGCCCGCTGCCCGTGCCGATGCCCCTAGCTCTGGCGGGAACAATGCCGGAAGGGGATTTGTATGCCAGACAACAGGAGCCCTGGTACCGTCTTGCGGTCGTAGCGTGAGTGTAACGCTGGTAGGTACCGCGACGCCTGGGGGTAGCAAAAAGTACATGCGATGCACGTCGTTGGCCGACTGGTCGTTGGCGGGCAGGACCCGTGTGCTGCCGTCCCATGAGATGTGCCAGTCTCCCCGCACTCCCCGCGTTGTGTCGTCGTCCTCCCACTCGACCATCAGGATCTTGGTGCCCGTGGTGGCATTTGCATGGCCCGCTTCGTACTCGTAGCGGGCAAGCGCATTTGCGCTGGAGATGCTCGGCGACTCAACCTCGTCCTTGGTCAGCTGTCGCGTGGTGGTGTCGACGGAAGTAAACGGAACAGTGGCCGGGGACGCCATTGGGAACAGGTCGAGTTTAGATGTCGAGGAGCGCGATAGCTACGTGCAGGACGATGCGTCTACCGGCGTGTATACAAGTGGGTGGGGGTGGTATACGGGTCTAGGTGGTAATAACGGCGATGGCAAAATGACAATCATCCAAAGGCCCGTGTTCGACGTCGAGGGCAATGCAACACACAGTTGACAGCAGGCTAGACACACCCGCCACGAACTTGCTCTGGCTGGGATGGCAGTCTGGCGATGTCTCGCTGACCGTCTGATGCTGGCCGTACGCGTTAGCCTGCAGTTTCGCAGTCCGGCCGATGTTCGTCACTAATTTTAGACGTCGACACCGGCCACTTCTCCACAACTCCTAGCCACGGGAACCAGCGACTACCGCGCCACATGCGGAGAGCTGCGTCGCTGCGTCGCCGCTGCGTGCCACTCTTGTCAGCCAATCACGTGTGCATATGCAACATTGAGGCACGGCGCTGCCTGAGCGTATCGCTCGTTTCAACTTCAATTCCTCTCCTATGGGCCTCACTCTGGAGCCCCGTTGCTACACTACTATCCATGTATCTACGTACATATACATGCGCCGGCCGCTGGGATGCTGCGCTAGCTTCCCCCACGCAGCTTTTGGCCCCTCCGTGTTCTCTCCCTCACCCCCCTCACCCCCTTCCCTTCTCCCTTCCCCCTTTCCATATACGGTTTCTTAGTGAGGCAACCAGACCACACCGAATCCAGCCGTGATCTCGTTAATAGTTTAAAAAAAAACACCCTTTCCTCCTAATGACATCCAGTCGATGCTACTGCGCCGTGTGAATGCTGCCTTTGCTCCTTAGAGCCATTGGTATCCAAAATTACAAAAGTGGGTATCGTGTAGAATAAAATATATGCAAAGAAATAAGCAAATCGCTTTGGTAAAAGTTGCTGCAAGAAGAGCCAAGGCCCAGACGAGAAGAGAATGTAAGTTGGCAAAAGGGATACACACACAAGACCAGGATGCATACCAGCAGAAGAAGCGACCGCTCAAATGAGCAAAAAGTCCCAGTTCTTCTGTCGCATCATGTCCCGCCAGTGAACACTCTGTGTGTTGCCCTTTGCCAGGTTGTCGTCGTTGGCCTGCCACACTTCGTGGAGAAGGTTTTTGACTCTTCCGTACGATCCAAAGTTTGCCGCCTCACCCAACATGGCAGAGCGATCAGCAAACATTTTGCGGAATCCAGACTGCGGCACCGAGATAGAGCCAGCGACCAAGAGTGGCCAAATCAGAGAACGGTCAAAGCCGTCAGGGCCAGCGGGGATATACTCCATGGCCTTGCAGAGAGCACTCACCAGGTTGACAAAGGTGGGTGATGTGCGGTCAAAGTCTGGCACTAGGCTGCAAAGGTAGATGCGGGCGGCTAGACGGTACACTGCAGTCATATTGCGGCGAAGCTGCCGTGGGAGAATCTCACCAGTAGACGAGTAGGCGCTGTTGAGCGAACCCTGGGGCGGCTCGGTCAAGCTGATCTGCTCGCCAAGGAGCTTGATGTGGGCGCAAAGCTGCACGATATCCATGTTCTCATTCTTCAGCGCTTCGAGGCAGGCGATTTCCGAAATGAGATACATGATGCGGTCTTCGCATCCCATGAGTTCTGCGAGGCCGGAAGATGCATCTGCAATAAGCTTCTCCCGGTAAGTGTCAGCGAATGATGGTGTCCTGCCCAGTATCGTAGCGCCGAGGATGTCGATCCAGGAAGCCAGTGTCATGTTGAAGGGTGGCTGAGCGTGTGCCTGGCCGTTCAGTGCAATCATCTGCGCAGGAAGCTCCAGCCTGTGAACGAGGTTCTGGACAGCTTCAAAGTGGCCGTGCCATGGGATGTCCATGAGACCGTCGTTGAATCGACCGACTGAGCACTGGAAAAAGATCATGCCGAGCGCTGCCTCGAGGGTCTGGCCATGGTTGCTGTCACTGTAGAGCGCAGCGGTGAGCTGCTGGACGGTTTCACCGCGGTGTCGCTGAATGTCTAGGTCAATCTGCTCCCCAGTGAGCCCCTGAGTGGTCTTCATGTGTAGTGCGGATATGCTCATGCAGCAGTGTAGATATGCCTTGTTGGTCTCGAGCGCTGGGATAATGACGTCGCGCTGCGCCGCGCCAGGTTGGTTGGTTTCCAGGACAGGAAAGGCAGAGGGCATGATGTTCTCCAAAAAGTGGCTGAGCAGGTGGCGGTCGCAATCATCCACCTGGATTGATGGCTGGTGTGATGGGCTGAAAGTGCCATATGTGTTGTAATCAAAGATAGGGAACTCAAGGGGCTCCTCTGTGAAAGATTCGCGGCGCTCAAAGTAGTCTTGTTGAATCCAGTTGTCTGAGGGGTAGGCTGGAGGTGTTTGGTAGTGGCTGTAGGAGGAGATGGTGGAATCGCGTCGAGTTGGGATATCGTTGATGAACATCTGGCTCTCGGTCTTGATGTCAATGTCGTATGGGACATAGTGTCCTGGGTGGGCGAAGCTGGGGGGGAAGCTGGGTGGAGGCATTGTGGAGTTGTAGAAGTCGATTGTGGTAGGGGCTGGGTTGAAGTTGTATTCGAGCGAGTTCTGCGAATCGACAGAAGGCGCTCTTGTGCAGCTGATGCCGTCTGAGAATGTGTCGGCAGTCTGCATGGAATGGCAAAGGCTTGGTGGAGTGTTTGTGCCCATGGCAGCGCCCTGTGAAGTCTTCTCATTAAGCTTTGTGCGCTTGATGATGTTTTTGATGAGTTCTTTCTGGTTGCGCCTCTGCTCGTTGTTGCTCCACCACATGGGCCTCTTGTATTCACATTTGAGGCCAAGGTGTTTGCAGGCGCGACAGGATGGTTTTCCTTCGTCGCACTTCTTGCGTCGCAGGCGGCATGTGAAGCACCCTGCACAAGATCCGTTAGCCAGCCCGTCCAAGTCCATGCGCGGGATCCCTGCATAGGAAAAAACAAAAGCAGAGGGTATATGTTACCTGTTCGTGAGCGACGATGCATTTTTGCAGCGGCTTGCTTTGCTGCGTTAGCAGCAGCAGTGGTAGCGCCTACCATGGTTGTGGAGTGTTTGGTAGCAGATGTGGGAGCGGACGAGGAGGACATGGACGCTCGAGGTACCCAGAGCGGTGGTATATGAAGCAAGCCAGTTAAACGATGCGGCAATAACGACTAAGGCACGACGGGACGATTCGTAAGGGACAGGATGGCAGGGCTCGACCGGGCTGCTCGTAATTAAAGATGGGCATTCAAAGCTCGACCAGCGGGCTTGATGTGAAGGAAGGAGCGGAACCAAATTATGCGGACTACCTATTTGCGTGGAGGGTTATTAGTGAGCGACAAGTACCTTATATCTGCCAGGAACGGCACAATGGTCACAAATACTGCTGAATCTATTCTTGGACTCGCAGTTATCTCGAGGGGTGGGCGACCAACAGGAGGGAATTGCGAACGTGGTACAACACATGGCGCCGGCACGCTGATTGGGCAGACTAGTCTGGCCATGCAGCCTGATGTCGACATTTGGGGGCATTTTGTGTTGCCAGCTATTTTGGGGCTTACTTACCCGCCGCGCTTGAGCCAGCTACAGGCCGTAGCGTCCATCTCTCCACGGCTATCGATCGGCTCACTGGCCCCCGCAACCAGTCTGGTAAGTAAATTGTCCCGTTTGGGCGACTCGGCCCAAGAGGCATACGCCCATGTCGACTCGAGAGTTTTCGCTGCCAGGGGGGTCGGGTGCGTTAGTCTCTTCTCGTCCCAACCTCCCTGCGGGGCACTATCGACGAGTGGCATCATTCCAGAGCCGTCTAGGGAAAACACTTGCAGCGGCTGCGATAAGTGGCCGGCCCGGACGTTACTGGTGGCCTTGTGCAGATGCGCAGATCACGGGATGCAATGCGCCCGGTCTGTGTACAAGCAAGCACAGCACCTGCTGGTAGCTGTCCTCGTGCCAGCAGGGAGCATGAGTGCATGAGCGTATGCGTGTATGTACGTAGTATGTGTGTGTGCACGCGAAGCGAGGAGGGAGTCACTGGCCCTCGACGGCCACGTTGGCCACAGCCAGTCGAGAAGCGGAGCTGGCAATTGAGGCTGTCGTGATCATTTCCACCGCGGGACTTGCCCAGCTAGAAGCTAGGCGGACGAAAAAGGCAGACGGCAGTGTTGGCCAAACACGGCAGGTCAGTTGGCGATGTTTTTTCCCGAGCTACGCGGGCAACGACGAGGGAGTGGTGTAACGCAGCGGAGTGGCATAGCACAAGATGGGCGACGGCATCCAGTCAGCGTGCGCTCCCACGCAAAACAAGTCGCTTGTGCATGTTGCTCGAGGTGAAATTGCAAGAGAAGCTTTTGCTAGCGGGCGACGAGGGCCAATGACGGGGGCGAGGATGCTAGCTTACACTGCGGGGCAATGCAGCGGCATGCTGGGCTGCTGGGGCGGACGGCAGGGGAGTCGAGGTAGTGGTCGTCGTGGTAGGTAGCAGTAGTACTCTAGCGGTGGTGGTGGTGGTAGTGTGTGTGCTATGAATAGGCCGTTAATTAGGCTTACTTGCGTCGAGGAATTGCCCATAATTAGGGCCAACGCCCAATCTGGGTGGCATGGCGAAGACAGGCGAGGGCAGGTGCAGGAAGCGGCGTTGATTGGTTACCGAGGGCTACAATCAATACTTGGCGGGCGACGAATGGGCCCTCGAGTACCGGGTACGTCCTCGGTCGCAGTCGGACAGACCAGGCCCTTACTCACCTGACTGCGCGGAACTGATGCTCAAAGGCCATTCTCTCCCGCTGCAAAGACGCTACTTGCTGGTCCCTGGTTTTTGGTAAATGATGCCTGTCTCGTTTGCGTCTTGTTGGGCATCTAGTGTGCCCATTAATTGTCATCGCACGCTTGGTCTCCCTCTAGACACGACTCAATCCTCTGCTCGCTCGTCTCTGCGGCACGCCTTCGGTCATCACCATGGGATCCGCCAAGCAGGCCAAATTGCGAGCGCCGTTGCACAAAGCCGTTCCCAGTAGGTTCCTTTGCCCGACTATCAGAGGTGGAACTTTTTTCTTTTTTTTTTCTGCTTGGCGCGGTTCGTAGACAAAACGCTTGGGATAATGCTTGCATTTGCACAAGTTGCGGTCTGCATGGCTCCTTGCTCGAACCCCATTTCTCCACGCTGATTCGCCTTGTTGCGACGACGCTTCACCAGTCCATTGTCGCAGCGGAGCACACCAGAGAATGGCGACTCGGCTGGCCGCAGGGTCTTACAGTCACGGGCTCGTCGTGTGGGTGCTTCTCTGCACGACCGTTGGCCGCCA